GAAGCCCCAGGCGCCCAAGCCCCCGCCGCCGCCGAGCCTGGAAGCGGGAGCGAGTGCGGGGCCCCCGGAGGCGCCAGCGGAGCCCGACCGCGACGGCCCCAGGGAGGAGGACGAGCCGAAGCTGGCGGCCGGCCCGCAGGTAGGAGCGAGCGAGGCGAGTCCGGCTGCTCGGGCGCTTTTCACCTTCGCGGAGCGGGATCGGGAGGGCTTGGGGTGAACCATCCTCCCCGGGCTGCGGCCGGAGCCTTCCCCACAAGGCTGGGCTGAGGCTTTCTCCCTCGAGGCAGGAGTGGAGGCCGGATCTCTCTCTCTAGAGCCGAGGCTCGGTCCGTCCTGTCCTCCTGAGACCCGGCTGCCTGCCGTCTCCTCCCGCCGCCTCCGGGCTGGAGCAGAAGCCAGACGTCCTGGTCGAGCACCCACCCCGGGGCCGGACTCTGATCCTGAGGCCACAGCTCAGCTCTCTGCCCTTTCCCTTCCCCTGGGCCCACCTGCTCCCCACCTCACCCACAGGCCATCTCGGGGCGCTGGAGCCTGAAAGGCTACAGCCTCTTTCCTCCCCCGCCCCGGGAGCGGCTCCACCCCTTCCCCTCACTGCCGGCGGCCACTGCCCCCTCAGCAGCTGTGCCCCCAGCGTGTGTCTCCTGGGGCCTCCCTGCTCTCCCTGCCCAGCAGAGCAGTTGGAGCAGACAGGCAGGCTACCTAGAAGACTGTTTGGTGGGGCCCTGCCCTGAGGTGGAAACCCAGCAAAGCCTGCCCTTTCTCCCCTCTATACCCCTGATCCACAAGGCGGCCCACCCGATCCTCAGATCCTTGGGTGTGGCAAATCCTGCAGGTAGTGAGCAGTAGGAGAATTTCCAAAACTTCCGACTTGCCACCTGGAAGAAAGTCACTTTCTTTTGAGCAAAGGAGATAATGAGAGGTACCCTGCCAGTGTCCACTGAGAGGCCGGGGTGGCATGAGCCACAGTTGCTCTGGGTGGGTTGTGGTACCTGGGGCTGGGTGGCTCGCCCTAAGCTTGCTCTGACAAAAGAGTTTTGAGTTGGTCTTTTGGCTGAGCCTGCCAAGAAAGGCAGGCTCCTGCAGGAGTCTTGGAGGGTCGGATGCAGCGCCGGATGAGGATGAGGCGTGGCAGAAGATGCGTTTGGCTCTGCAGACACTGCATCGGGCAGCAGGGGACTCTGGGAGGCTGGTGCAGCCAGAAGGCATGGCTCTTGACAGCCTTCTAGTAGAATCTCTGGAATTATGCATGTGAGTGGGGATGCTGTTTGGGGTACCATTCCCAGAAAGCCTACCCTGACCTCCCTAGTTGCCTGAGGTACCCCCTCTGTGCCCACAGTGCCCTGTGCTCCCCTCTGGTAGCACTCCCCATTCTGTGATGAGACATTCTGTTGATGTGTCTGTTCCCCACACTGGACTGTGAGTGCCACAGAGGCACAGACTATGTCATCTATCGCTGGTTCTCCATGCCTAGCCCTGGGCCTTGCTGACACAGAGTAGAAATAACTAGGTGAATGAGAGAGAAAATGAATCTGTTGAGAACCTGTGCTAATCGTAACCCAGTTTTGATGCTGGTCTTCTTTGTGTCTCAGATCACAATAAGATTTTTAATTAATGAAAATATCACCACTTATTGAGTGTCAGAGGCCCTACCTTCACCCCCACCTCCTACCCTGGGCTAAGTCCAAAGGATGCAATACTCCAAGTTGGACCCCACCCCTGCCTGGTCTAACTTCTACCCTGAAGCTGCTTCCCCCTCCAGCCTTCTCTTTCCTTTCTCTGCCCACCCCCTCACCCCCCCCCCCCCCCCACAGAGATGCTGTTATCCCAAAAGGGAAAGCCAGGGAGCTGTTGTCTTCTCTCCTTCCCATTCAGACCATATGGTACTTCAGGGTCCTCTGCCACTTAGCCAGCCTGTAGATTTCATTGCCAGAAAGCTTGGATGATGGCTTAACCATTTAGTTTTTATTTAGGACACAACTTTCCTAAGAGCTATGAGTTTCATTAACATGGTGGGCTCCTACCATGTTCTTATCTTCTCCATTGCTTGACCTGCCATTTCCTTCATTTATTCATGCCAGGCACTTTAGATACCTTATTTCTAATCTTCCCACCAGCCCTGTATTCTCCTCAGCATTTACCACAAATGTGATGAGTTAAGTATTGGTGTAGTTATTGGTCTGTTTTTGCTACATAAACTCTGAGAGAGCAGGAACCATGTCAGTCACCACTGTAGCCCCCTATGCCTGGTGATTAACAAATGTTAATGAATGAACTGAAGGATATAAATACTATTACTCCATTTTTCAGATGAAGAAACAGAGACTCGGAGCAACTAAACATTTGCCCAAATAACTCCCACTATAGGTCTCAGGGCCAAAAAAATTAAGGACACTCTTGTGTGGGGGATTTAACAAGGCATTTTTTTTTTCTACTATAGTCACAAAGAGGAAAAGAAAATTGACAAGCTCTATTCTGATTGTGCCCCACTTTTTTGCTGGGGAGGGAGGGTTCTGGATGCCAGAAGCAGGCTTTTGTACCCTGGTGAGAAGCACCCACTGAAAGGGTTGGGGTCAGTCATTGCTCTGCCCACAGGTGTGCCTTTGGTGAGGATCTCTGGTTCCCATCACCACTTGTAACCCTGTCTTATGTGCACAGAGTGGCATGGTATACACTCAGAGTTGCATGCCGAAGTGAAGCCAAAGGCAGCAAATAGGACCACTTCCAGTCCACAGACAGGCTCTAATGTCTCAAGTCACACATTGTTTTGTTTCTGTTTTTGTTTTCATTTGAGCCAATATTTTAAAAATCAAAAGGTTTCCCACAAAACTGGATTTGTGCCACCTCTTTAAACTAAAAATCTGGTGTTGCTGGGCCCACATTTCCAAGAAGCAGTAATCTGCAGTCTCTGAATAGTGTTTGCCCCGTTAGCATATGAACGACACCTGACTGTGCCAGGCCCTGGGCTAGCTGGGAATGCAGAAGTGAATCAGACATGGTCCCTGCCCACAGTGGCTCATTGTCTGAGAACATGTATGTAGTAATTGCAGTAAGGCTAGAAGAACATTGCTTTCTCTGAGTTAAGATTCGTAGGCCACTCTGGTTCCATGTAGTCCCCCTTGCTCATTTGCATAATCTGTATATATTTAAAGACAGGACCTTGAGCTTAGTCACGATCCCAAAAGTCCTTACTTCCAATTGTTTCAGGCCACTAAAATTACATTGATCTGTTCACTAAGAACCCAGATCCTTGTTTACTTCACAAAAAGACTAAAACAGGTACTGCCTTATTAGCGAAGGAAAAAAACTTACAAAGCTGTTTAAGGAGGCAGTGAGAAATAGTGTTTAGCGTTAGACTTGGGGTGAATTCCAAGCGCAGTCTCCTTCTAGCTTTGGGACTCTAGACATGTTTTTTCCCCTCTCTAAGCCTTATCGGCAACTTTACAAGAGAATGTGTAGCAACCCATGTAGCACCTAATACGTTGAGGTTCCTTATTCGAGAGTAGGAGTCAGAGGTGGTGTGTGGCAGGAGCTGGGCCAGATGGCCATCCAAAGCCTGTGTCCTCACCTGCCAGCTCTGCTGGCTGTTGTTAGGTCTCTCTTAGACCACTCAGCTTGTAATCTAGGTGCACACTCAGTAAACCCCCAGGAGACTTGCTAGACTGTAAACCAGCAGTTGGTGGGGGTTGAGCTCAGCCTGCTCTTCGCATCTCTGGTCTCTCTACAGCATCCCCTGAGACTTTGCCCATCCTAGTTTAAAGGGACTCTGGAGACCTGGTTCTCCCACTGCTCAGAGTTAAACACGCTCCCTCAAGGGACTGGAGCAGATGATCAGTCAGTATCTTTATTAAAACTGTCTCATGATGTTTAATCTACTCAAGCAAGCATTATGACCTCTGTGCCAGGGCCTTTATTCAGGGCACACAGATGAATGAGATAGTCCCTGTACCCAGGGCCCTCCCCCTTAAAATCACTGCCTGCCCAGCCTGGCCACTTTCATTGCAAGTAGGAGGAAATGATGAACTGAAGGAGGATCCCTGCCACCTCTGGTTCTTTGTAAGCCAGTAGAGATTCAGTATGTAGAAATCCCAAAAGGCCTTTTAAGATGAAGACTTACCCACTAAGATTTTTAAATTTTTAATTTCCTTAAAATGTCCCAGAGCTATAAGCTTAGTATCTGATATCAATGAACTGTTAAGATTCTAACACCTTTACGTAGTGAACCTAGAATTTTTAAGAGCATGAGCTATGTTTTAATTCATTTATGGGTTATTTATTGTGCATGGTCCTTATGTGCTCAATAAATGACTGTTAAACTAAATTATAGTAAAAGAAATAAGTTAGGTATCTACCATTTTGTTCTTACCTATTCCCACTGCTGGGCCAGGCTGGCAGTCATTCATTCATTTAGGCCCATTGCACACACACCATGCCCAGTCTTCCTGTCGCCTGACCTGGCATTCATTTATTCTGCAAACAGTAAAGGACGCCTGACTGTGCCAGGCCCTGGGCTAGCTGGGAATGCAGAAGTGAATCAGACATGGTCTCTGCCCACAAGGGGCACGTGGTCTAGAGAACATGTATATAGTAATTGCAGTAAGGCTAGAAGAGCATTGCTTCCTCTCGGCCACATCCTAGATCCTAGTACACAGCCTTTGGAAGTGTTTCAGCCTCTCAGTTTGTTTTCTCATGCATAAAATGACAGTGAGGCCAGGCTCATGTTAGGACAGCAAGTACTGCATGTCAAGCAGTTAGCACAAATGGTAGCTATGATTATCATAGATGCTTAGTGCTGAGGATACACAGATATGATAGCTCAGAGAAGGCTTCTCGGAGTTGAGGCTTCATGGTCGAATAGAAGTTCCTCCAGAGGAGAAGGTGGAAGAAGGTGTCTAAACAAGTAAGCAACATAGACAAAGACCCAGAGGCAAGTACTGTCCAACTCATGAGTGGCGAGAGGTCAGATTGAGAGGTTAGCAGGGTTCTTGAAAACCACATCAGGAGGTTTGGGCTTTATCCTATAGGCAATGAAGAATCAATGAAAGGCTTTAAGTAGGAAAGTGTGATGTGCTTCAGTAAATTGTCTGATAGCATAGGAGGAAGTAATTCTCAGTGGGAGAGGCAGCTGTGATTGCTTGATTTCACCTCTCCCTCACCCTAGCCTAACTAATCATCAGATCCCCCATGCTTTGCTGGACCCTATCCCAGACCTACAGAATCAATCTCTAGGTCTAATGCCCAGGAATCCATTGGTATTAAATTGCCCCAGGTGATTCTGATGTGTGGCTGGGTCTGGGAACTCCTGAATTGAGGGTGTTGTGGGGATCCTTCCGAGGCCTAGGATACTCTTCAAAGAATGGGGCTTCCCAGGGGGGAGCTTTTCCATAAGCAGGAATAGAAACAGCCTTAATTTTAGAAAAACAAAAAACAAACTTTCTCCAGTTCTTCAGTTGTTGCCCTATTAACAAAAATTTCCAACTGCTAATCTTTGTGTATCAAAATGTTACCCATGCCCACTACATGTTGCCACCTCTGTTGAACAACGGGGATGTAGTGAATCATAGGACACAGACCCCACCCTGGAAAGCTCACGGTGTTTTGGGAGAGGACAGATTTCAATAACTAGGATACATACGATAAGCTCTATTCAAGAGATATGTAAAAAAGTGTTAGGGCGGGGCCAGCCCAGTGGTGTAGGGGTTCGCACGTTCGGATCCTGGGCGGGGACCTATGCACCTCTTGTCAAAGCCATGCTGTGGCAGCATCCTGTATAAAGTAGAGGAAGATGGGCACAGATGTTAGCCTAGGGCCAATCTTCTTCAGCAAAAAAGAGGAGGATTGGCAACAGATGTTAGCTTAGGGCTAATCTTCCTCCAAAAAAAAAAAAAGTGTTAGGGCATCCCAGAGCAAAGCACAGTTCATTATGCTTGTGGACTTAGGAGGATGTAACACCCAAACTGAGCCTAAAAAGGAGGAGGTAGAGGGAACAGTACGAGTGAAGATGTGAGTGCTTTATGTATTTGGGGAAAGGAATGGTTAATGGTTCTTCGTGGCCGGATGTGCAGAGCAGAAAAGGACTGAGAAGAGGTATATTTTTGTCCCAGGAAAGGCCCTGTGTTAGCACCCTTTGGTTCTGTGCCCATGCTCCCACCCTCATCCTTCAAACTCTAGGTGTATGAACATGCTGCAGTCCCATAGGCCATCTCCACTCTATTTCCTACCCAAGGGTCTCAGCTCTCCAGCTCCCTTTGTGGCTTCTGCCTCCATTCTGACATGAATAGATAGAGGGAAACTAAGGCAGAAAGAAGGGGCCTGAAACACCGAAGGTTCTTATTAGGAAGTCCGAGCCAGAGGATATGGACTGGGGGGTTCAAAGAGGCCTTGAAGGTCACCTGTCTAGTCTTCTGTCCTGTGCTTCAAGTAATAACTTTGGATTGGGCAAGTCTCACTTAGTAAGTTTCCCTGTCATTTCTTCTAGGACAGAAGAGGAAAGAAACTAACGGGTATTGAGCACCTACTGTGTGCCAGGCCCAGGCCAGGTACTTTACATAATTTATTTCCTTCTGTCCTCACAACTCTGTGAAGTATGGTTTTGTTCTCATTTCATAAATGAGGAAATTTTGGCTCAAAGTAATTAATAATCCGAGATCATACTGAAAATGAGAGAACTGGGATTTGAACTCACAACAGTCTGTCTGCAAAGTTCATACTTTTCCACTCGAGAAGTCTGTCCAGGGGGTACAGAGTAGTAGGTAATAAGCTTTGCCTGAGGTTCCAGGTTAAATAGCAGCAGCTTGGTCCTTCCTGAGACTGACTGCACCCGGGAAGCAGGTTCAACACATTAGCTTACCTTGGGGGGTGGAGGACCACTGAGGTCAGAGAGACTCACTGCCATGTCCTTGACTCAGCTTGTACAACTAGAGAGAATTCTCCACAAACTGGCTATATGGTATGAAACAGTCGTCCTACCTCCTTGAAGGACCTGAGCCAACAGCCTGAGGGAGAGTTTGGGTGAAAGCTCCAGGACACTGAGGTAAGGTTGTATCAGCTCCTTGAGAGTAAACTGCAGCTGTGATTGCTGGCATTAGAACAGTCTGAGATTCTTAGCACTGATGCCCTCCTGTTAGTGGCCTGGACTGGTGCAGCCATGCCTTTAGCATAGCATGTCGGGAAAGGGGCTGGTTCAGTTGTGTTTTAGATTCTATCTGTTGTGTAGAGCAGCTGAGATGTGAGCCAGATCAGCTTTAAGTATTCCTTCCTTTATTCAGTGAATGCCTGCCATGTGCCAGGCCCAAGCCAAGCCTAGGTTTCTGGACACACTTAAATGACCAAGATCCACTCCCTGCCCCCAAAGAACTCCTATTCTACTGAGGGTTTGGGGACAGAGAATATGTCTGTGGCACAATGTGATAGATGCTATATTAAAAGAAGTAGTTCTAGGGGCCGGCCCAGTGGCGTAGTGGTTAAGTTCACGTGCTCCGCTTTGGGGGCCAGGGGTTTGCAGGTTCGGATCCCGGGTGCGGACCTATATACTGCTTGTCAAGCCATGCTGTGGTAGGCATCCCACATTTAAAGTAGAGGAAGATGGGCACAGATGTTATCCCACGGCGGGCCTTCCTCAGCAAAAAGAGGAGGATTGGCAACAGATGTTAGCTCAGGGCTAATCTTCCTCACCAAAAAAAAGAAAAAAGAAAAGAAGTAGTTCTGCTTAGCCTGGTCCAGCAAAAGCTTCACTGACCTTTGACCAAGATCTTAGGGGATGAGTAGAAATTTGCTGAGGAGTAAAGCTGAGGTGCTGAGGTTTGAAGGGGCCAGGTATATCTGAGGAACAGTGTGAGTAGAACCTAAGGTTCTCAGGTGTTAAGCATGGAAATGGAGCATGGAGAGGTCAGCTGTGGCCAGCTCGTGGATGTCAGGGGCCAGAGGGTGCCACAGTAGTGAGGTCACCCAGAGAAGCGCCTGGAGATTAAAGAGAGACCAAGGTAGGAAGGAGGAGCTAAAAGAAGGAGATCCTCAAACTGGGGTAGGTATGCCAGAAGGCACATAATAAGCTTACATTAAGTGGACAATCCCAATGTCCTGGTTGGTTGGTTGGTTTTATTTTGTGTATTAATTTTAATTGTGTATTATTTTAATTTGTGTTCCCGCCAAACGAATATGAGGCATCTTGGGAGTTTGGGAGTGTTGACAGCCCCGTGCATGAACCTGCCTGATTTAAGCATGTGCTCTTAAGGCAGGAACTCTTTGAAGAACATTTAAGGCAGGAACGTTTTGTTTGATGTTTCCTGGCACCCAGCACAATGGTTGGCACCAGGTAGGCGCTCTGAGAATGTTTGTTGAATGAAGGAATGAATGGGTGAACGGAAGAGTGAGTAGTGATGACTGGGCTGATGAGTTTTTCTAGGCTGGAGATTAATCATTTTCTCTGCTTCTGGAAGGGAATTTTAGCTGCTTCTGTTGTCCTCTGCCTGCCTTGGTGACAGAGAGGCTCTTGGAGTTGGGTGACTTGAGAGTAGAATGCTCTCATGGACCATTTCAGAATAGAATTTGGAAGCTGTTGCAGGGCTACTGGTTGGATATAGCATGTGTCTTGGGGGAATCCTCTACAAACATAAACAAACTCTTGGGAGTAAAAGGAATCCATGAGAGGAATGAGAGCAGGTTTGGTTCTGGAAATTAGATCCAGCTTCAGAGCAGTCCTTGACAACTGCCTGTTCTGGTGACCCGTGTTATTCCCCGTCAAGTCCCAAATTGTGGACAGAAAGGCTGAGGTGGAAAATTTTATTCATGCCCCCAAAGAGCTATCCAGATATGTCATGAAGTATATCACTGTTAATAACAACTGTTGCTTATTGAGCACCCACTGGGTGACAGGCACCATCAGATGCTTTACATCAGCAGTTCTCAAAGTGTTTGGTCTCGGGACCCTTTTACATTCCTAAAATTTATCGAGGACCCAAAGTAGCTTTTTTTAATTATGTCTATTCATATTTACCAAATTAAGTATTAAAGCTGAGAAAGTTAAAAAATGTTTAGTTGCTAATTCACTTGAGAATAACAATATTAAACCTATCACATTAACATAAATAACAATTTTTTAATGAAAAATAACTATTTTCCAAAAAACTTAGTGATAAGAATGGTCTTATTTTCATTTTTGCAAATTTCTTTATGTCTGGCTTAATAGAAAAAAAATCTAGATTCTCATATATGCTTCTGTATTCAGTCTTTTGCAGTGCATTGTTTTGGTTGAAGTATATTTAAAAAATCCAGCCTCCCACAGATGTGTAGTTGAAAAGGGAGTATTTTAATAGCCTTTCCAGATGATTGTTGATATTCTTCTTTGCAATATAGAATCTGAGACCTTATCAATGAAGTCTTTATACTCATTTATATTAAAATCTGTTGGTCCATCTAGCACTTTGAATGGATTTTTTACCAATGCATGGTTCTGTAACATCATGCTTTGATCATTTGGAAAATAGGTTCACTGAGTTATATAGATCTTCCCAGTGTTTTCCCATTTCATTTTATAATATCAAAAGATAACATTTGTTAATGTCACCACCAATTTCATCAGAAAAGTCTTCAAGTACTGGGAAGCTGTCAAGCTCATGGTGGTGGATACAAGTTTTCCAGAATTCTAATTTCCACCCTAAAAGTTTGAATTTTATCATTGGCCGCAAATAAGTTGTTTTCGGTGAAGTAATACTCTCATTTTGTTCTTTTTTTGTGAAAACGTCTGAAAACGTCTGCCAGTACCCAAGTACGAATAACTTTAATTTGTCAGTTATTCTTTCAAGTAAAAATGGTGTTCCATGAAAAAGTTGGCTTCCCCTTCCTTTGATTTTATCTCTTTTTATCCAGGAAAAACTAGAATGCCCTAGTACGATGCATCTCAGGTAAAGACAGAAAAGTCTTGGGCCTGGTCAGGTGAGGGAGCAGAGATACTGGTTTTAATGGCGGCACATGCCAGCCCCCTGGGGTAGGAGTGGCCACAGTCTAGGGTTCAGCTGGCTCCTTTATGTTCTGGGGATGTGCGTGCTACAATGTGGATCCCCTGTGTGAGTAACCTTACACTCTCCAGAGGTTCTGGTTTTCCTCAGAGAGTAAAGCAGAATTATCTTGGAGCTTTTTTGAGCATATCTCAAATCTAGAGAACCCCTAGAACCTTTCCTTCCTCTTCTGCATCCTTTCGCTAAGGCTAGACCTGTATCTGGAAAGGCTCTGAAATTTAAACTGAGATGAGAAGGAATAATTGGTTGTTGCCCAGGGCTTTTGGGTTTAAGAATCAGTTCCATCATCCTTTGTGATGAAGAAACATGATTGGGTGTTTCATTCATTCAATAAACATTTATTAATCATGGTCTTTTGTGGGAATATTGTGCCTGGTGCTAACAGTACAGCGTGAGAACAGCTAGTTGAAAGCCCAAGTTCACTTTAGGGCATAAGGGGTCATGATTGCCAGGAATTTGGAAAATGGCAGGAGATTGCAGTCAAAGGAAAATCGAACCAAGAGCTTTTCTCTGCCGAAGGAAAAATACGAAGGAGCAGTGGTAGTACTGACTGAATGTAACATCGCCAGGGCTTGGGCTTCTCACTACCCTTGGCAATTAAAGTAAAGGTGAAAATATCAGAGAAAGGTTCTTAGCCACTCCCCCCTCAGGAATTGTACTCGGGCAAGTGCCAAGGCTTAGGGTTAAGACACCTTTGGGGGTAGCCTCCAGAACTGCCTGGGCCTCGAAAGAAAGACTCAAGTATACTAAACTCAGGACAGTGGATAAGCTAGTTTCCAGTATCAACTTATTAAGAACAGAACAGCCAGGGAGCCTAGATAATGGATTGAGTGCCTACTCTATGGATCCCTTGAGCTAAGGGCTGTGCATCTCTAGTGTCACTTAACCCTCTGGGCAGGCTTGTGCAATGTAGGCGGTATCACCCCTGCTTCAGTTAAGACTTGATTAGCTGTCTAGGCCTTGTGTTTCTTCCTTTAACTGTAAAGACAGACTATCCTGTAAATTCACTTCCATTGATGGCTAATCTCATTTATTATATGTACCAGTTTGGCTCTAGGGAGAGTCATGTTATTTCCGTGAACTGGGCATCTCATTGTAATCTCTAAGGAATGCAGACATCTACTCTTCCACACTTGAGACTGGAACCATTTGGGTAGAGGTCCAGGGTGGAGAGATGGCCTTTCTCTGTGGGAAGCAATATAATTTCAAGCAGTGTCTCACCCAGCTGCCTGTGTTGACATAGGGACACTTAACAAATCTGACTTAGCCACCATGTGCTCAGCTGAGCCTATGCCTTGTGCTTCACTGTGAGAGATCCAGACAAGAATCAGACCTGGTGCTTGCCTTCTAGGAGCACAACATAGTAGAAGGGACAGAAGACGCAGGTAAATAAATTAAGTGGAAGGCAAAAATACCGTAACCAAGGCACAGAGTACTATGGGGATATGGAGAGGAGAGGTGAATTATAAGAGGGACTCTCTAGGAAAGCTTAGATGAGGTTGGATTGAAGCTGGGCCTTTAAGTCCTGCCCATCTGCTTATTGGTAAACGTGAGAAGGAAAGGTTTTAAGCAGAGGATCCCCTTTAACAAAGGCGTGAGATAGGAGAGTACAGGGAGTGTTTGGAGAACTTAAGGAATGACTTCATGGGATTTAGGGCAGAGAATAAAATGCCTCAGAGTCACCTTGGATTCATCATGTGTGAGAGATTCTTGGATTCTTGTAAAATACAGTGACTGTTTTCTGTATTTTCAACCCTAGTTCTGATTTTAAATATTGTTTCCCATTGCTCCCATCATGTTCATAATTATTAGTACCATATGTTGAGCAACGTATTATATGCCTGGCACTGGAGTGGGTGCTTTATCACATTTAATGCTCACAGCCAACCCTACAAGTTAGGACTTAATCCCATTTTACAGATGAAGAGACAGAGTAAGTAGAATTTGCCCAGCATTATACAGCTGGTAAGTGATGGAGGCCCAGGATTAATGCCAAAGCCAGTGTTGTTTCCGCTGCACCCCAGCACTTCCCGCAAGTACTTTGGCACTAAGTACAGTCACATTGATCACATATTTAACTTATAAGAGTTCTATTTTCATTTTAAAAAACAAAATAGAAAGAACAATTATTATACATTGTCATATACATTATACTTTTGAATTCTTGGTAGTACGTACAACCATATATACTGTACTTTACAGGCCATGTAAAGAATTTCAAGAATAATTTTACTCATAGAAATTTTCATCTTATGTAATAACTTTAGAACCTAACACCCAAATGAAATGAAACTCTACTGTAGTAAAATTGCATGTCCTGGTGATTGCCTTAAGAATATAGTCACTATGATATTTCCCACAGGGGAAGAAACTTGGGTATTGGCCTCACCTCCTCCCCCTGGAATTAGTATGGCACCTTGTAGCTATGGAAAGTTTCCTGGGTACACTTCTCAAAAAGGCCTCCTTCATCTTAACTCCTCTAAACGCCATCCTTCTCCGTCAACCTTCCACCCTTTCCAGGAGATGCTCACCACCAGTGGTTTAGCAGGCTAGATCCTCTGCGGTTGTGATTAAGCAGCTGCCTTGCTTACCAAAATGGAGCATTTAGGCATTATCTCAGGAGTTCCACATGGTCTGGTACTCTTTTCCGAGGTCCCTGTACTTCCCCAAATGTTTCATTATGCTCCTGGTACTACTATTTGGTTCCCTTGTTTTTCTAGAAACCAGAGACCTGGGTCATTGTAATTGTAACATACAAATTTAAGGATACCCTGATGCCAACTTATTGTGAGAAGGTGATTTTATTCGAGAAAGATGATGGCATTTATTTTATTGGTAGAATGAGGATGATACCCCATTCCTTTGCTTAGGCCTCAGCAAACACCTGTTACCTAGTAGTGGGTAAGTTTGGAAGGTATATCAGTTAACTATTGCGTGTAACAAACCACACCAAAACTTAGTGGCTTAAAACAACACCATTTATTATTTCTCATGAGTCTATGGGTTGACTGGGTGTTTCTGCCATTCAGGGCCGGCTTGGCTGATCTCAGCTGGGCTCACTCGTGTATTCAATCTGCTGGCCAATCAGCTGGGAAGACTCAGTTTTCTCCACATGTCTCTCACATCCCTCTAGCAGCTAGCCTGGTCATGCTCTCATGGTATGACAGAGGTGTAAGAGCGAGCAAGCCCAGCCATGCAAGGAAGCAAGTAAAAATGCATACACACTTTCCAAGCTTATGCTGGCAGTGTGTTTGCTAACATCCTGTTGGCCAAGAAAGTGACATGATCAAGCCTGGTGTCAGTGAGAGGGCTACAAAGTTGCAGGATATAGGAATGCTATTAATTGGGGTCATTAAATGCAGTCAGTCTCCAAGTCAGTATCCCTCAGTGTGAAAGAAAACCTATAGACTTATATTTCTATGTCAAGTTTGTCCTAGAAGGGAAAAACAAGTCCAGGTAATAATTATTGTGTATTGCGCCTAGGCTATGGGCACACACAGGATTAGGCACTTTACCTGTTTGCGCACCAAGCCTCACAACAACTCTGCAAGGTAGGTAGGAAATCGGAGCTTGGGAAATTAAATAACTTGCTCAAGGTCACCTAGCTAATATGTGGTCAGGCAGGAATTAGAATGCATATCAGTGTGACCCTCAAAGCCCAGGTTCTTTTCAGCACACCTCACTGCCTCTGAGAAGCACTAGGGTCTGCCTTACCTTCCCTCGAACTCAGTTTTCAATTGAGTTGATGCTTTCAACTAGCTATATAAACCCCTCCTCTAAAATACTGCTGTGATCCTTATGGAATTGTGCAGCTCTTTAGGAAACCCACATGTTCTCCCAAACTCTGCATTAACTGAAAGCATTTTTTCCTTGCAGGTGAGGATTTGTCTGTGGACTGCATAGACAGCCCAAGAATTGTGGCACTCCCAGACATGCTAGAGAAGGAAGGGCCATCTTCTTTTTAACCAAGATTTTGGAACATTGGGGCATTAGGGCATTTCGGCATGAGCTTTGGAGTCAGCTTCACTGGGGTTCAAATCCTAGGTCAACCACTCACTAGCTCCTTGGGCAACTTATTTGACTTCTTTAAATCTGTTTCTTCATCTAAAAAAAATGGGAACAATAACACCTAGTTTGCAGAGCTGTTACAAGGACTAAAATTATGTATATAAGTGCCTAACCCAGTGCCTGGCACGTAATAAGTGGCATTATTAGTATCATTAATATTATTTCTAAGCAGAGCCTTTCCTCTCCTGGGAAACCCTGTTTCTGTCTGTTGGACAGGTTCCCCCCACCTCCAGCCAGTCTGTGCAGACCTGCTGCCTGCTATGTCATCGAGAACGCAAAGGCTGGGAAGAAGGCCCTTCCCAAAACGGACTGGTGTTGCAGGGTGAGAAGCTGCCCCCTGACTTCATGCCAAAGCTCGTCAAGAATCTCCTAGGCGAGATGCCTCTATGGGTCTGCCAGAGTTGCCGAAAGAGCATGGAGGAAGATGAAAGGCAGACAGGTCGAGAACATGCAGTGGCGGTAGGTAACCGCTGAGTCCCTGAATGCAGGAGGGCTGCCTGCCCAAAGAAGTCAGGTTGTTGAGCTGGTTCTTCCCTGTCCTGTCAGGTGGTTCTCCTCGGGCAGCCCCTATGCCCAGGCACTGAGAGGCTGCTGGGCTGCATTCACACAGCATTAGTGACTTGGGGTTAGGTTTTGGGGAAGAAGAGAGAGGCTTCAGGTAGCCTGCCGGCCCCTGAGTAGAGTCTGTGTGCAGTGTGAGGGCTTGCTCATGGGTACTGGTAGATTGGGATCCTGCCCCTTCCATGTGACCGTGCTGCCTTCAAGTCTGTGGCAGCTTGAAAGCCAAACAGTGTGACATGAAGAGCAGAGATCGGTTTGAGGGTCTGCAATGTGCGTCAGTTAGAAGGCCTCAGGTGGGAGCCATCCAAGTCTGCTGTCTCCTGAATCACAGCTGTCAGACTGTCCTCGTTTCTCCTTTTCCTCCAGCCCCTGTCTTTTACCCAGATCAGTTCAGCTTCAGGACTCCTGGCTTAAAGACCCTTCCTCTCCTTGGCAGCTCTCAGGACTCCCCAAAGGCCCACAGTTGACAGGCAGCCTCTGCCCCGACCAGAGTCTCTGTCCCCAGTATCCACACACGTCACTTCAGTGGGATCACCACAGCCCCTCCCAGCAAAGACCTGGCCCACATTTGCCCTTGCACCTGGAGCAGTGGGAATTGTGCTTTGGCCACCGCATAGGGGCTTGGAGGAAGAGGCACTCCTGGGTAAGCTTAGGCAGCAGAGGGTCGGCTCTGATGTTTGCGGTTTTATCATGAGCCTTTTTCTTCCCCCTTCTCCAGATCTCCTTGTCACACACATCCTGCAAATCACAGTCTTGTGGGGGTGACTCTCATTCCTCTTCGTCTTCCTCTTCATCGTCCTCGTCCTTGTCCTCCTCCTGCCATGGGAACTCAGGGGACTGGGATCCCAGCTCATTCCTGTCAGCACATAAGCTCTCAGGCCTCTGGAACTCCCCGCACTCCAGTGGGGCCGTGCCAGGCAGCTCGCTCGGGAGTCCTCCTACCATCCCCGGTGAGTCTCCAAGCTTGGGAGAGAGCCAGACCCCATAAATGTAGAAAGCTGTATTTTCCTCACCAGTTTGTTCAAACAGATCAGTTATTAAATTAAGTAAAAGTGGAGCTGTTCTGGCGGGAAGCAGCGGGGGGACCTAGCCCTTGACTGTTTCTGTGAGACTCCTTTCCCCAGGACTCTGAAGTTGAAAAATACTGCGTGGCTCTGATAGCTGTTCCCATTGGATCCGGGAAGGGACTTGGTGAGCACGGGCTGAATAGAAAATGGAGTCTGGGCAGCCCCTTAGGGAATTAGGACTTAGATCACCTCACACATGACCGCTGCAGCAGTGCAGAGGACCTGGGTGACTTCTTCCTAGGCCTTCTTTCCCCACTTAAGGGCTGGGTGTAAAGGCACTGCACTTGCGCCCACAAGAGGTTGGCAGTGCAAGCTGCCGTCATCATCAGCCAGTTTCACAGCTATAGAAGCCTTCTTTAGACCCTGAGATAACCCTCAGAGACCCAAAGGAAAAGTCTTGGGTTATTGATGTACTTACTATGTAACTATGAATTACTGTCGACTTCTAAATGGAGGGGCTGAGTTCTTCAAAGGGGTGCTGCCCCCAGAACTGTGAGAGTTGAGCAGTACATAATTCCAGTTATTTTGGTGCATAAGCCACAGAGAGTCATCAAAGCCTTTTCCCACTTCTTCTCTGAAATCTGGGACCACCTGCGAGTCTGGCATACCCTGGCTACCTCGGTCCTCATGGCCCAAGAGACAGAACCTTGGCCTGCTGCTCCACTGACTTCTGTAGATCTTGCCCTGGGCCTGAGGAATGCCTGTGAACAAGCAGGTCCTAGAGAGACCCTGAGAGACAGAACGTATCCCCTATTTGTGCCACAATAGAGGTGTGCGGCCTTCCGTGCTGCCAGCATTCCTTGGTGCCTTCTCCCTCACACCTCGGCTCCTCGAGCCTGTTGAGCCGAGCTGCTGCCTGCAGAAAGACCTCTTCAGCTCAAGGTACTGCTGGACTTTTCCAATAGCTCACAGGTGCACTATTCTGAGAGGCTGTGCCCAGACAGGTCCCTCTGGTCACAGTAAGCAGGATGCTATGGCAGTGAGCCCTTGGGCTTTCTTTCCCAGAATTTGGGCTCTCTCTCTGACACCTTTCTCCCCGATCTGCCCACAGGTGAGGTTTTTTCCATCTCGGAGCACCACCGGCATTCAGACCTCACTGCTCCACCTAATAGCCCCACCGGCCACCATCCACAGCCAACGTCACTGATCCCATCTCACCCCAGATCCTTTGGCTCACCACCCCACCCACACCTGCTGCCCACCTCCCCAGCAGCACCTTTCCCTGCCCAGGCTTCAGTATGCCCTGTTGCTGCTGCTGCTGCCCCTAGCACTCCAGGGGCCTGTCAGAGCCCCCACCTGTCCTCTACCAGCATGCCGCTCCTGAAGATGCCTCCACCATTCTCGGGGTGCAACCACCCCTGTAGTGGGCACTGCAGTGGGCACTGTGGCGGTCCTCTCCTCCCACCACCGAACTCTCAGCAGCTCCCTAGCACTCACAGGTAAGTGGGTAGTGTGAAGGGCAAATCCCCGCTGACTTGAACATAGAGTTTTGGAAAACTTCACGGAGCATACCTTTGAGGTGGAAATTAAAGGGTTAGCCTCTGTTGTTTTTTCTGTAGTTTTTCCAGTTATAAAAGAAATGTGTTTACTATTTTTAAAAAACTTGGAAAAATTTATAAACGTAAAAAGAAGAAAAAAATGTCCTCACAACCTAAAGATAAGCTTCTAATGCTGTGGTGTATTTTCTTCCTGATGTTTCTGTATATAACATAAGCAGGTCCCTCTTTATATACATTTTTGTGTAGTTATTTTTTTTTTAACATTATATCATGATCGTTTCCCCAGTTAAAATTCTTCAAAAAACTTTTCAGTGGCCACATAATGTCTTATTGTATAGCTCTAGCATAATTTATTTTATCATTCCCTATTCCTGGACATTTAGGCATTTCCAGTTTTTAACCATTATAAACAAGACTGTAATGAGCATCCTTGCACCTAGATCTGCATTTGAGTTAGGAATTATGCCCTTAAGGTAGATACCTAGAAAATGTATATTAATATGTATTGGAAAGATAAAATTCTTTGGAGAAGATAGATGTATTTTATTATGCATTTATATAAATTTTCCCATTCTAAAATCCCACCACCCTGATACCACCCCTTTCAGCAGTTTTCCCTGGCGTGTCTGTCCCACACATTGGTGGTGGTGTCTGTACAGTTTCTTGTCATCCAGCTTCACTCAGCACTGTTAGGTTCCTGTGTGGTCTTCTGACCTCAGCTTTAAAGGCTGGAGAGGGGCTGGCCCGGTGGCGTAGTGGTTAAGTCCATGCTCTCCACTTCGGCAGCCCGGGGTGTGCAGGTTCGGATCCTAGGCGCGGACCTACACACCACTCATCAAGCCATGCTGTGGCGGCATTCCGTATACAAAATAGAAGAAGATGGGCACAGGTGTTATCTTAGGGCTAACCTTCCTCAGCAAAAAGAGGAAGATTGGCAACATGTTAGCTCAGGGCCGATCTTCCTCACCAAAAAATAAATAAATGAAGGCTGGAGAATATTCTCCATAGTGCACTTCGCTGTTCTCCAGTTGCTGAACATTTAGGCCATTCAACATTTTAACATTATATATAATGTCTCTAAAGATGTCTTTGCCTAAAGCTTTTTCCCACTTTTGGATTTTCTCCGTAGAATAGATCCCTCAGAATGAAAAAAAGTTCTCAGTTCAAGGGTGTCTTTTGTTTTTTGAGAAGGGTTCTTAATACACATTGAAAAATTGCTTTCCAAAGGGCTCTCCAAATTGATGTAACCACCAATATTAGAGTGCTAGTTTCTCCGTATTCTCAGGAGCACTGGGTATTTTAATTTTGCTAATGTAGTAGATGAAGAGTGGTCAGTTTGGATGAAGCTTCTCTAAGCACCACTGATAATGGTTCCTGCCCCCTCCTTTTCAACCTGTGTCCTGTGGACTGCCTGGGGAGCCGAGCCTCCTCACTGCTCCTTGCCCTGCTCTTCCTCCCGGCTCCCGCACCTCACCCAGCTGTGGCGCCAGCCCTGGAGCAGTCCAGCTGCTGATGGCCAATCCAGGGCTCTGGCTCTCCCAGCTCCAATTCTGGGACCTTGCAGGCCTGTCTCATTCTCACCCTGGGAAAATAGTCTATGTTATAAGCTGCCCCCCTGCTTCCTGAAATGCAGAGGCAGAGTGGTGCAGTGGGAGAATGTGAGCTTTGCATACAGAAACACGGGCTGCGTCCTGTCCACTCCTTGGGCAAATCAGTTAAAACTCTGAGCCCTCAGTCTTCTCCACTGCATGGTGCAGATAGCAACACCTACTTTGCAGGACTTGGGGAATCGTTAGAAATAATATGCTGAATAAAGTACCTAGCACAGACAGCAGCTCCTATAGTCTGTGGCCCACAAGGCACATTGCTTTTGTTAACCTCATGGCCCCATGGCTAAGGCAGCTCCACCCACTGGTGCAGACTCGGTCATAGGGACCTTGGAGCATGAAAGGAAACCAACCTTGTTGGCCTCGTTTGGATGCTCCAGGGGAGCCATCAGTCTACCAGTCTGTTCAGACACCTACTTTCTGAGCACCTACTATGTGCAAGGTTGATATGCTACACACTGGGACCCAAAAATAAAAGTGCAATAGTCCCTGTCCTTGGGGAGTGCACAGTTGGTCTGAGAGACAAGCAGACAAAGAGACCATCACAGTAAAGTGTGATGAACAGGAGGATAGGGCCGGCCCCATGGCTTAGCGGTTAAGTGCGCGCGCTCCGCTACTGGCAGCCCGGGTTTGGATCCCGGGCGCGCACCGACACACCGCTTCTCCGGCCATGCTGAGGCCGCATCCCACATACAGCAACTAAAAGGATGTGCAGCTGTGACATACAACTATCTACTGGGGCTTTGGGGGCAAAAAAAAAGGAGGAGGATTGGCAATAGATGTTAGCTCAGAGCCGGTCTTCCTCAGCAAAAAGAGGAGGATTAGCATGGATGTTAGCTCAGGGCTGATCTTCCTCACAAAAAAAAATGAATTAATTAAGAAAAATTAAAAAAAAAAACAGTAGGTTAGAGGTGTTCGCAGTGGGTGTGGGCAGGGGAGGCATGGGAAGCCTCAAGTGCCATTGAGGTGGGCCCTAAGGGACAGTGAGGGTGTTCACCCTGTTCTTGGAAGAGGCGCTGATGCTGTCTGACTGCCTCGGCCTTCGTGGGATGAGGCAGATGAAGGGTAGTTGGGACAGCAATAGGGGTTGGGCTGATTCCCTGGGCTCCTGCTGTGGTCTGCTCCTGCCCTGCCCTCCCTCACCTTTGGGCCTGTCTGTCTTCCCCATCAGCAGGGACCCCGGGTGCAAGGGGCACAAGTTTACACACAGTGGCCTGGCCTGCCAGCTACCCCAGCCCTGCGAGGCAGATGAGGGGCTAGGCGAGGAAGAGGACAGCAGCTCAGAGCGTAGCTCCTGCACATCGTCCTCCATCCACCAGAGAGATGGGAAGTTCTGTGACTGTTGCTACTGTGAGTTCTTCGGCCACAATGCGGTGAGTGGGCCTGCCCAGGCCAGAGAGGGCTGGGGGCCAGCCAAGGTGAGCCAAGCAGGGAGCACCCTGCTGTCCCCGGAGGCCCCCTTGCTCATGGGGACAGTAACCTCGCTGGGACCCTGTGAGTCCTCACAGCTTCGTCCACTCACTTGATCCTCATAGCACATTGGTGAGGTAGGGATTTTTAAACATTTTGCTACCTTTGCCCTTTTCATGGTTTCTCTTAAGATTGACTTTTTTTCCTTAGGCAAAAGGAAAAGAAATGGCAAGAGAGAAAGCTATGATTCTGATGAGTATGTATACATGTGTAATCACAGAGAAGTGAACACTTGTGCGTGATAAAAGCAGAGTGGAAGCAAAGGCTCTCAGTCCCCAAGTGTGAGAGCCAGCCGAGGGCCAGGCCATGAGCACAGATGGCGCCAGGAAGGAGGCTCAGAGCAGAGTACATGCGGTCTCTGGACAGGGGGGAAAAGCAGTTCAGAAGGTGAAGAGGAAAGGGCTGCTGGCTAGGGTAGAGCAGTTGAGGACAGAACAAATGAAAGTAATTACGTTGCTCGTCTCCTTTGAGCAAGGGGTTATTATCCTCATTTTAAAGATGACAAAATTGAGGCTCACAAAGACTCGGTGACCTGCCCAAGGTCATACGGCTTCCAGTGACAGAGCCCGGGCTCAAACCTGCTTTCCTGGCTCTCCAGTTAGTGTGCTCCCAACGCTGTCACCTACCTCCCAGTCGCTCCACCCACCGCTGCCTTGGCTCCAGGCCTGGCTGAGGGTGAAGCTATTTGGCCTTTGTGGCTACAGTAGAGAGAACAGTTGTGTTGCTTCTCACCACGTTTGGTGCCAGCGGGTGGGGGTGCCACGGGCCTCCCAGGCCTGGGGTGTAATGTCAGCACCTCCCCCTCCCCCAGCCACCCGCCGCCCCGACGAGTCGGAATTATACCGAGATCCGAGAGAAGCTCCGCTCGAGGCTGACCAGGCGGAAAGAGGAGCTGCCCATGAAGGGGGGCGCCCTGGGCGGGATCCCTGGGGAGCCTGCCGTGGACCACCGAGATGTGGATGAGCTGCTGGAATTCATCAACAGCACGGAGCCCAAAGTCCCCAACAGCGCCAGGGCTGCCAAGCGGGCCCGGCACAAGCTGAAAAAGAAGGTGGGTGTGGGGGGGGAGCCCAACTCTACTACCTCTTCTCCTCAGGACTTCTGGGGCATAAAAGATGCTGGCTGCCAAAGGCCTTGGCACAGCTCACTGCTCTGGGAAAGTCTGAATGAGTTTGGGAGGCATCAGAGTCAGGGAGCCTGGGGGCCAGTGATTAGAGAAAAAACAAGTCCTGCTTCAGAAGCTGCTTGCTGGATTCCTCAAAGCTTAGGACTTGCTTCAGTCAATCAGTCATTTATTCATTCAGCAAACACTTGTGCAAATACTGGGAGCTAGAGCATGGTGCCATTAAGTTCTCACCCAGGAGAAGCTCAGTCCAGTGGAGAGACTGACACAAAACTGGATGAGCAATGTTAGCATGTGACAAGTACTGGGATGAGGGAAGCCCCCTATCCTGTGTGGGCTTGCTGGAAATGGCTGTACAAGAGGCTGAGTCAGGAACTGAGTCGTAGGGAGTGAGTATAAATTTATCAGGAGGGCCTTCCTGGCAGTGGGCATAGCATAGCCACAATAGCTTGGTATAGCCAGACCTCCAACAGAGGAGAGGCAGGACAGATAGTGGAGGTGAGGGAGGGCCTTGTGGGTCCTGCTGAGGAGCGTTCCTTGATCCTACAGCTGAGGGGGAGTCACCGGAGGGCTTTAATCAAAGAATGCACTTTGTTGGGTCTTATTCCAAGATTACCGTGTGGCAGCATGGAAGGTAGTCTGGAGGAGTACTGCTCCAGGCAGGAAAACCGTGAGCCAAGGGAGAGGTGATTGATGGTGGGGCTAGAGCAGAAGAGATGGATTTTCAGAGGAAGCAGAAGTGACAGGCTTGGTGATCTGATTGCAGGACAGGCAGATGAAGGAGTCAGGGATGTCTCCCAGGTGTTAGCTTGGGTGACTGGCAAGATGGCGTACCTTTCACGAGTGAGGATAGGAGTGGCAGAAGACAGGGAATTCAGTTGGGGCACGTCAATTCAGAGGTTCTCATGAGACATCCAAGTGGAGATGGAGGTGTGGGGCTGGGAGTTGCCAGCATGGAGATGTAATTGACGCCATGGGAATGACCCAGCCTGTGGGCTGAGCAAGCTCCTCCCAGAGGGCTGAGGATAGAACCCGCTGAGCTATTCCTGGGCAGCCCTGCTGCCAGGCAAGCCCCCGGGCTTGATGGCTTGTCCCCTGCCACCTCATTATCTCTTCTCTTGCTTGCCCCCAGCTGCACCTGCACAGTGCCACACTCGGGAGCCCAGCAGCCGAAGAGATTGGGTTTAACAATCAGCTAGCTCCAGGTCCTGGGTAGTCAAACAGCCCTAGTGTTCTGGAAGGCAGCAGTGATTCTCCATCTTTTTCCGTCCCAAAGGACAGGACTCTTTCCCTGCAGCCTGCAGTAGTGAACCAAGGGGTCCCACCACTGCCTTCAGAAAATGGTCGGCATGTTCTGCCTCCAATCCAGCGTTGCCTGGCCAGAAGTGCCCAGTGGCTGGCAGCGGTCTCTTTGGCCTGTCTTGGCCTCTTAGGAGAGTGGTTCCCAGTTAGGTCCCAGTGAGCACACTCTGCAGTTCCCAGGCCTAGTGTGCTTTTCATAAATCTCTGTGCCTGGACATTCTTTCCCCTTCACCAGTGACGTTCTTTTCTCTCCCCTCCTTTTCCTCCTGACAACTTCCTTCCAAGCTCAGTTCAGATGTTTCCTCATTTACAGACTTCCTTAGGTAACTTCTTCTACTGTACTCCCATTACACCTTGCACATCTCTGTAGTCTGCCATTTATCACGCTCTACTCACTCGTTCAAAAACTTACTGCACAGCTACTGTCTGCCCAGCCCAGTCTAGAGGCCAGGATACAACATGGAAGCAGGCAGTTGCAATATCCTGTGATAGGCGATCGTGGTCATTATCTGTTTATACATCAGCCTCCTCCCCAGTGTCCCTCTTCCACCTCCCAGACTTAACTACAGTCTGGCTCTCCACCAAAAACACAGCTCCCTCCAGTATCCGTCTAATGGAGACTGCTCATTCTCTCCCACCTCAGGAGACGGATAAAGCCGAGTGTCTTTCTGCTTCCTTATACCATTTCCAGACCATGAGTCTCTCTCCTTCATGTACTAACCCCTGCTCCTTTGGAACTAACCCCTGGCTCTGTCATCTACAACCTCCCAGCCACTCGTCTTCATCCACTGAAGACTGTAACCTGCCCCTTTCTCTTCTTTCCAGGCCATTCAAGATCCCTTGACCGTCATTCATGTACTCTCTTACCAGTACTCTGGATTCCTTGCCCCATGGCCCTTCCATTACACCCACTCAGAAAAACAGCAGCCCTAGGTTGAACCCCAACCTGCCTCTCCCCTTCCACACCTCCAGGAAAGCACTGGATCAGATCTGTCTGTGGCACCCGGGCCACATGGTCTTCTGCTTGCCTGAGCCCCCACATTGCCTGCAGGCCTCTTGTAGCTCCCTAATCCTCTTGATCCTCATCACGTCCATTCATCACAGCCCGTTTGTCAGACAGACCTCCGTTCTTCTCCAACCTCCAGGCTTTCCCCACCCCTACCTTATTTTTAGGCAGATAACCTCACTTCTTGTATCAAGGAGGAATAAAAGCCAGTGGACAGGCACTGTCAGTGTCTTACCACCCCAACTGCAAACTTTCTTCTGGTCATGAGGGAGGAGTTACCCCTTTCCTACCCAAGGCCCATGCACTCCTTTCCTGCCCCCTCAGCCTGACATCGACTTCCTACGCTGTGGCTCCAGCCTCTCCTTTGGGCTGTTTCCCATCAGCATTTCACTGTGCCCAGTACTGTCTCTTTTTTGAAAGCATACTCTTCCATGAGTGTACAACCTCTGTCACGCCCCCAAGTCTCTTTCCTCTCATCACTGAAAAACATTGTCTGCATTCACTGTCTACTCCTCCTGTCAACTCACTGCACGTCATGCATCAACCCCCATGTCCCCACAGAGTCACCAATGACTTCTTTGTTCTCAAATCTGAATCATACTCTCCTGTTCCATCTTCTTTGTCCAGTAGGCAACATCTCCCATCTTGTGTTGGGTCTCCTTTTCAGGCATTGTTTTCTTTGGTTCCTCCATCCTCAGCCAAGCGGGGGCAGGGAAAGGGCAGTGGGAACACCATGTTCTCCACATTTCTCACCTTCCTCTCTGCCGCCTTTTCTGTTTCCTTTGTGAGCTTCTCTTCCTCTACCTGACCATCTCCCTTAAGGATATCTCCCTGGCAAAGAGAAGCCATCTAGATAGTGTTGCCCCCTGGTTCACTATGTCCACCTCTTTCCTCTCTTCACTTCACATTGACGTCTCCTCCTGCTACTGGGCACCTCCTCACAGACGCCCCACAGGTACCCAAACTCAGCACATCCCACACTAAGCTTGCTATCTTTCTCCAAGGAGACGTGCTCTTCCTTCTCTGTTGTCTATCTAGTTAACGGCACCACCATCCATCCAGTTGCCAGAACCAGAACCCGGGTGCCATCGTGGGAGGAATACATTTTGGTGATCACGAGCAGCGGGCCTTGGAATTGGACCCCAGTTTGAAATCCGGCTCTGTCACACTTGCTATATGACCTTGGGCAAATCGCTTAACCTCTAAGCCTCAGTTTCTTCATCCATAAAATGAGAATAAAAGTAGAACCTAACTCAGATTGTTGCAACAATGAAATGGAGTGATGCACAGAAAGGTTTGGCAGAGTGAGCGCTCGGTCAGTATAGCTGCTATGGCAGCAGTAGTGGTTATCGATACTGTTTTCATGACTCATCTTATTCTCTCTCCCCATCTGTCACCAAAAGGCCTAGTCATGCTACCTCCCAAATAGCTCAAACCGTCCACTTCTCTCCACCCTACTGCCACTATGTTAAAAGCCTTCGGTGGCTGAACATTGCCCTCAAGATCAAATCCAGACTTGAACAGGGCCTGCAGGGCTCTTGAGCATCCAGCCCCTGCTAAGCTTGCCAGCTTCATCTCTCAGTCTACCCCTCTGGCCTTCCTCCCCCATCCTGCCAAAAGAAATCTGAGCTCCAGCTATACCTCTGAATGTTTACATTCCCTAAAGATTTTGTGTGTTCCCATTTCCCAGCCTAGATACTTGCTCTTCATTGTGTCTAGAAAGTGCTTGTCCCACTCGCTCCAGGATAATCCCACTCAGTGCTCAGCGAGATACTGCCTCCTCTGGCAAGCACTCCCTGATGGCCAAGTCTGGGTTCCCAGAGTACCCTGTGCTCTCTTCCCTGTAGTTCTTGTCACTGTCACTCAGAACTAAACAGCCTGTTTGCATGTCAGTCTCCCCCAGCAGACTCAAGTCAGTGAACAGAGACTGTGTCTCATGCATGGCTGAGTTCCAGAGCCCAGCCCAGTGCCTCACAGAAATGATTGCCAAACAGGATTGAAAAACATAGGAACTCTGCAGATCACACCCGGCTGTACTCTCCCAACTCTCCCACTAGCCATGTAACCCTGGGCCAGTTCCTTATTCTTCCCAAAGTCAAGTGTCCTCATCTGTAAATTGAGGATAGTGATGCAACAAGGGCAGTTGTGAGGATTGAGACAACATATGGGAAGTACCAGGCTCGTGGTATGTAGCAGAAAAGGTGTGTTTCTGTGCTTTCTCCTTCTATCGCAACCACATTGTATGTGGTTCCATGTTGCTCCCTGGACACCAGTAGTTTTCAGACTTTTTAGCAGCAGAACTATTTTCTGCCATTGAAATCTTCCATGGAACCTCAATTCCTAACAAACAAAAGCAAAGCTGTTCTGGTGCAGGGTAGGAGTAAAGTGAAGGGTCTTCCAGTCCTTTGTCCATCCCCATGGCCTCAGAGCTCTTACCACGGCCTTGAACTCCACAGCACACAGCTGGAAATGCTACTCTAGACTGAGTTTCTTCCTCATCTGAGCCCCACAGGATGAAAGGGATATACACCCTCTCAAGTGTCTTCCTAGCAACCCTGTGAGGTACAGTAGTAGTTTTTCTCCCAAATTTACAAATGAAAGTAGTAAGATTCAGAGAGAATAAGTGATTTGTCCAAGGTCCCACAGCTGTGGTCCTAGTCAGTTGTGGAACCAGTGTTCAAAAAAGATGAGAGAATAAATCAGTGCATGCCTCCTGGGGCACAGGGCACCCTCGTTAGGTTGTCTCTGAAGTAATAGCACTCTTTTTTCCCCCCACTTTCCTTTTCCTGTTTCTCCCCACTATTCCCAGATCAGCTAGACATAGGTGAAATAGTGGAAGTCATCCAGCCCCACCACCATCACCACCTTCCCATGGGCTTTTGACATCTGTCTCCTGTCTCCCTCTAAAGTCGTCCTTGGCCTGCTAGTTCCTTGAGGTGGGCAGAGGGGTGGGGTGACTCAGAGCCCACAGACTTTCATTTTCATTCTCCAGATCTGGCTCTGTCAATGCTGATTGGCAGGGTCTGGTCTCCCTGAGTCTCCCAGTCCTCACCTGGGTAAAGGAGTTGCTTTTACATCTTGCCGTGGGGGCCCTGTGTAGCTGTCCATTGTATGCCATTGGTACACTTTAGACGTGGCCTTGATTACTTGAGGCCAACTGAGCAGTGAGGGGCCTTCCTGAAGGAACTTTGCCATCTTTAGTAGCACCCATACCCAACGTCAGGAGGACACAGGCATTCCCAGTTACCCAGAGCAGTCTGATCTGCTGTGGCAGTCTCACAGCCCCACATCTTCCTTCCTGAAAGTTCTGCACGATGTCACAGCTTTTTTCCCTACCATTTGCAGAATTAGGGAGAAAGCTTCTGTAGCAGCTGGCTTCCTCATATGCATCCCCACTTGGTCTTCACTCCAAAATTATTGTCCCCATTTTGCAGATGAGTCCACTGAGACTCAGCAAGTGAGTGAATTGCTTAAGCCCAGGCCTAGGAGGCGAGATCCAATTAGCTACTACGTTCCTACCCCTTTGAGTCCTAGCCTTTTTAGACCCTAGGACTGATACTGGGGCTCTGGATGAACCAGCTGTAAAAACCGTACCCTCTGTGGGAGTGTCTGCCTCCACCTCCAGGACATGTTCCTGTCTGACTGCATTTTATCCTCATTCCTACAGAGTGGGCAGGCAGGCCAGGATTGCCAGGCCCTGCCTCTAGCCAGTTAGTGGCAAAGCTGGGCCCCAGGCTGATATGTCAGGTGTCAACGTTGTGCCTGGCAGCTGCCAGGCCCCTGCTGAAACTGCCTCTTGTATTGGCAGGAAAAGGAGAAGGCCCACTTGGCAGCAGAAGCTCTAAAGCAGGTGAATCGTAGTGTTTCTGGAAGCCAGGAACCAAGGCCTACTAGGGAGAGGCTCTTGGAGTGGCCCGACCGGGAGCTGGATCGGGTCAACAGCTTCCTGAGCAGCCGTCTGCAAGAGATCAAGAACACTGTCAAGGACTCCATCCGCGCCAGCTTCAGTGTATGTGAGCTCAGCGTGGACAGCAATGGCTTCTCTAAGGAGGGGGCTGCTCAGCTAGATGCCCAGAATCTACTCTCCTCAAACCTCAGTGGCTCCTCAGAGCAACAGCCTGACATCAACCTTGACCTGTCCCCTTTGACTTTGGGCTCCCCTCAGAACCACATGTTACAAGCTTCAGGTGAGCCAGCCCCACCATGGGCAGAAATGAGAGTCCCTCACCCACCGTGGACCGAGGTGAGGGGCCCCCCACCCGGAATCATCCCTGAGAATGGGCTAGTGAGAAGACTCAACACCGTGCCCAACCTGTCCCGGGTGATCTGGGTCAAGACACCCAAGGCAGGCAACCCTAGCTCTGAGGAGCCAAGCCCAAAGGAGGTCTCCCCTTTCAAGCAGGAGCCTCCTGAGACTGTGGCCTCAGGTGGAAAGCTGCGGAAGAGCAAAAGACAGGGCAGTCAGGCCAAGAAGAGTGAGGCGAGCCCAGCCCTCCAGTCCCCGGCCAGCCTTGAGGCTCCTAGTGCCAAGGGCCAGACCCCCAGCCCCAAACAGCCAGGCAAGGCCCTAGAGCTTCCCAAAGTGGGCAGCTGTGCCGAGGCTGGAGAGGGGAGCCAGGGGAGCCGGCCAGGACCAGGCTGGGCTGGCAGCCCCAAAGCTGACAAGGAGAAGGGCAGCTCCTGGCGAAATTGGCCAAGTGAGGCCAAGGCACGGCCTCTGGAACAGGAGTTTGTGCAGCCCCCAGGCCCCACAAGGCCACAGAGCTTGCCGCAGGGCAAGGGCCGCAGCCGCCGCAGCCGCAACAAGCAAGAGAAGTCAGCCTCCTCCTTGGGTGAGTGCACCAGGAACTGAGTGGCTGACCCCACCCCAGCCAGGCCACGGGGTGGAGGGCAGTCCTCGTGTGTGGGCAGTGCTGCCCCAAGAGCATGACCCCAGAGGCCTGGCCATGGGCACTGAGCCCTCCTGGCTGTGTCTTCCTAGACGATGTGTTCCTGCCCAAGGACACGGATGGGCTGGAGATGGATGAGACTGACCGGGAGGTGGAGTACTTCAAGAGGTAGGTGTGCGGCTGCCTGCTCTCCCATGGCGGACTCCAGGGCCTACCCACATTCAGGCCTCTCAGAAAGGCCTCTTCCTTAGCCCTGCACCCTTGGAGGGAGAGCCTCTCCAAGCTCTCCCACCAGCCTGTCTGCTGGAACCCAGGTAGCTACTCGGCAGGATGGGGAGAAGGAGGCATGTCAGGCCCCAAGAACCAGGGCTTTTTCCAACTTTATTCACTTTGTTTATTCACCTGGACTTTCTCTGCTCTGCCTGGGGCAGAGGCAAATCAAACAGTCTAGATGGGGGAGAGCATAAACCAGTGATAAATGCTGTTAGAGGAGTAAGGGTGTGGGGCAGGTGGGGGGGTGCTAGAAGAGGGACTGCGGACCAAGCTGAGGGGTGGGGGCGGCCAGGGCAGCCTCCCAGAAGAGGTGGTGACCAAGCTGAAACCTCAGGTTTAAGAATGAGTGGGCCAGGTCAAACAAAAAGAGCATTCGTGACAGCAGGGCCAGGCATACAAAGGTTTGAGAGTGAAAGAAACACATCGTCCTTAGGGGTCCTTAGGGGCCCTTAGGGGAACGGAAGGCAGCCCAGTATAGCTGGAGTGAAATACACGGCAAGGAGGGAGCCTGCAGCCCAAGGCAGTGCTACTCTCCTCATACACTGTCCCTTGAGCTCGTGGGCTCCCCATCCAGCCCCCAAGCCAGCACAGCTTCCATACCTGCTCGACCCCAACGCCTGGGAGCTGGTGGGGTTGTGCAGAGTTGACCTGGTTTCTTTAGAGCTAGACCAGGACACTGGGTCTAGAAGAGTCCAGCAGGGAGAGGAGGGCACCTCTGATTGTGCTTCTCCGGTATCTCCCAAACTCAACAGGTTCTGTTTGGATTCTGCAAAGCAAACTCGTCAGAAAGTTGCTGTAAACTGGACCAACTTCAGCCTCAAGAAAACCACTCCCAGCACAGCTCAGTGAGGTATAGAGACTTCAGGTGTCGCATGCACCACCACTACCCCCACCCCTGTGCTCTGCCACCCTCTGTGCCCCCGCTAGACCATTTCATGCTCTCGGGCACAGGGAGATGGATTTGGGGCTTGGCAGCCCTGGCCCCTGCACTGCCACAGTGACAGCCCAGTGAGCTGTGCTCTGCGAAGGTGCAGGCCCCATCTCTTCTCCTGTGGCCACTCTGCCCTAGGCTTCTGTCCTTCTGTCACTCCTCCCTAGGCCAGGCCCTCCTGGGAGCCCTCCTGCCCGTGTGCCTGAAGGGCCCCTTCCTGCACTGCCGTCCCCTAGGGTATGTCTGCAGGCCTCTACTTACCCTCCCAGCTGCCTCCCAAAGTGCCCAGGCAACTGTGGGCCCCAGAGGGCTGCCCCTATCCCTGACATGATCAGCCTCAGGGTTGAATCTCACTTGCCCAGCCTGGCTCCTCTGTGCAGGCTACCAGGTTGCTTCCAGCTGAAGCCATCCGAGATGGGGCCAACCCCGAGGGAGCAGGGAGGCGGCAACTGAGCTAGATCAAGGCCTTGGCAGTCATTTAGGCATGGAGGACATGGGGGCGCTCTCCCCAAACATGACAAGTTCCATGAGGAAACTGATAGCGAAACTGCTTCCTGGAAAAAGAGACCTGGCCCCTAGCTGGGCTCTGGCCTCCCCTCCCAGCCACCTGCACAGGTCCTTTTGTCTGAAACAGTGATGTATAAGATGATGTTCTGGACTGAGAACAGAAGACTGGGGAAGGCACAGGGCTGAGAACCATAGTACAAAAGAGAAGGGTGGCTGGCTGGCAGGCCTGGTGCTGGGTTTGGGGCCTCGTGGCTGTGCAGTGCCACATCTCAATCCCGAGCTGTGTCCCTGGGTCAGGCCTTTTCTAGCTGGCAACCACACAGCTGCCCTTAAGGCAACAGGAAGCTAGGGCAGGTGGGCTGAGTTCAGGGATGACCCCCACCCTCTGGGGAGAATGTCCTCACCTCTCCTCCTCTTTCCCATGCCAGGGCAGCTCCTCTTTGGGCCCAGTTAACAGACTTCCTGGACCCTCGGCTGAGTTCCCTTGTCCCCATTTGGTTCAGGATCCCTGACTCTTAATGCCCAGAGAGCCTGAAGCCAGGGCAGCCTTAGGGGCTGGGCTCCCTGTGGCACCCTTGTGCTGCCCTGGCACCAGGACTATCTTCACACTCTCCTCAGCCCCTCTGCTCTGAGGGGCTGGGCTCCCTGATCCTTTGCCAAACCAAGATGCCCACACCCCCAGGAGCTTCTGCCAGGGCACCCTCCTGCTTCTGTTCTCCACCTCCTCAGGAATCAGGAGTCACAGGGACCCCAGGCACTTTGATCTGTTGCCCCTCCTGAGAGAAAAAGGGATGCACCTCCTCCCACAGGCCCAATGCCCCTGTCATCCAGGAAACCTCATCCAGCCATCTTCTCCCACTCTCTCTTTGGGTGATCTCTTTCCCGAGACAGGAGATACTCCCTCCCCTGCTCTCCTTATGATCTTCTCCACCTTCCTCAGAGTAGGATTGGGAGCCTCAAGTGCAAGTGCATGAGAAAGCAGTGCTGGCACAGAATTGGGACCAGCCCTGGCTGTGTGGCAGGAGTCTGAGTGCATAGGCAGCCCCTCTGCTTCCTGTCAGCAGGAGAGCAAATGCCAGAGGCTGGGCTCTAACTCCACCCTGGCCTGGGAGGATGTGCTGCAGCAGGGTCCTGGGCTCCACAAGGATTGTCCCACATTCCTTGAGATCTAGGATGATGTTCCACATGTTGACAGAACCACAGGACTGGGGCTCTGTCCCCCGACGGGGTCATAACCTTCATCCTGTGCTGGAGGTGATTGAGGAAGTCTGTTCAATGTTTTCAGCCCAGGGAGCAAAAATAGGAGGCAGCTGTTGCTGCTTCCCCATGGGGACCCATGGAGACCCAGAGCTGGCATGAGGCGGCCAGGGTGTGGGCCACTGCTCACCATGTGGTTGTGCTCTTCTGTTTTCTCAGCCCCTGCCGGGTGGAGCTGCTTCAGGGTGACCTGAGACCCCAACTGCCAACTGAAGGTCTACAGTTTCTTTCTCCACATCCCTACCCACCTGCAAGACCTTCCCTGCTCCCTGCCATCTGGGACCAACCAAAAGCTGAATGGATGCCGTGCCGTACTGGGGCCTCTCAGGACCCTGTGCAGAGCCGCCTCCTGGTGCTATGTAGCCTCCACACTCAGAGCCTGGGGGCTGGGCTGGCCTGTGGGTCAGGGGCTGATGGTACTGCTGGCCCAATACTGCTCTCTTTGTGTTTGGTTTTTTGTTTTTGTTTTTCAATTCTTTACTTTTGATACTGTGAAGATCTTTCCTGCCGAAAGATAAAACGACATTTGGACAGAGAGTTGGCGTGTTGGTGATTTGCTGGTCTGGGTCGGGGGTGAGGTGAGGGATGTACTCAGAAGCATGGGCTCTGCCTTAGTTACTAACTTTTCTTGAGCATGTACTGTGTGTCAGCAGTTTGGCATAGTTTCCACTTAATTCTCACAGCAGTTCTAAGTGGGACTATTACCCCATTTTACAGATGAGGAAACTAAAGCTAAGACAGGAAAGTGACTCGGCCGAGCTCAGTCTGGCCAACTAGGGTTAGAGCACCGGCTGGTATGACAGCGGCGTCTGTGCCCTTTCCTCCTGTTGGGAGGCTCTAGTATGGGAACCCAGAGCAGCCTCTTCCCCATGCTGTGTCTCAGTTTCCCCTTCTGCAAGATGGGTGAGTTGGAGGGGTGGGACTTGGTCTCTGTGTAGCTGATGTGAGACGGGGTCTGGGGAGGGCTTGAGGCCTTTATGGACTGTGCTTTTGTAGCCTGGAAAATTGGGGTTGTTAGGGAAGGTTGAGGGTAAATGGAGTTTTTATAAATTGGATCTGACTTGCCAGTGGGAATGGGACATGTAGTCTCAGTACTTGAAAGTTAAGACAATAATGAACACTTCTGTAGAGTAAAGCAAACTACCTCATTCTCCCCCTCCCCCAATGCGTCTGTTCTGTAAATTCATATTTTAATATATAATAGGTTTGCTAGAATTGCCTCACACACACTTGTGTCCCAGCTCCTTGCCCCCAATGTAGTTTTCTCTACCAAAACCAACACTTAACTGGGCTCGTGGGGAGCGATGGAGGCAGTGGCCACACAGTCACTAAGAGCCCTTTATGTAGTATTGGGAGCAGGATCAGAAACCACTCCCTCCCCCCTTTCTTCCCCCCAGATTGAGCTCACCATGGGCTGGCAGTCAGCACCAGCTTCCTCTTCTGAAGAAGTGAAACAGCTTTACCCACAGGCTCACAATTCCTGGTCCCTGGCCTTTCCCGATCCTCAAGGAAGTGTGGACACCCCTAGGAAACCTTTCTCTGTATATTTATTGTCTGTGTTCCTCTCTCCCTTCAACTCTTGTACTGGGCTCCTGCCTTGCAGTTGAATTGGCACAGCTGTCTAAAATTTTGCTTCATCATTTGAAAATTGCAGGCCTAATCAAGCAGCCGCTTTAGCTACAAAGAAGGACTTCTGTGAGTGTCATTCAGGGCCCTCTGTACCCGGGCCTCTGCCTCCTGCCCTCACTCCAACCACACGGGACAACTTCAGTCTCCAGCTAGGCCTGGCACCCTCGGTCTCCTGACTTCTCTTCACAGATTTCCCTCTTCCCAGATTACTTCCTTCATGAATTCCTGCTTATCCTTTGCAGCCCAGCTGAGAGGCCACTTTTACTACTGAAACTGGGAGAATCAGTTTGCCCTGCCTTCGTGATACTTCCAAAAGTGGTACCTTGTCTGTCTGATGATATTTCTCCTTAAGCTTAAGACCAGTTATCAATATTTCTGTCTCCTCAACTAATCCATAAGCTCCTCTCAAGCCAGGTTTGTGTCTTGCTCATCTTTTTCTGCTTGAGCACTGCACAATGCCCAGCACATGCTTATATTAAATATATGAACAGAGGAAGGAACAGCACTGGCCCATCGGCTCCTCTTTCCAAGTCCCCATTGACGTTGTAATTACTGTGACAGTCACTGCCCTGCATGCCCTGGGCCCAGTCTGTCTTTCCAGCCTTATCTCTGGCTAGCCCCACCCCAGGCCACTGTGTGATCTCTTAATTTCCTGAGAATCTGCACTTGCACGCGGCCAAACCTTGACTCCTGCTATACCCTCTATCAGGAAGCCTCTCTCTCCACTCCCTGCTCTGAGATGCCACACTTCCCTGGGAGCTCATATCCAGTGTCTCCTCGAAGCCGCCTCTGGTTCTCCGGGCACTTACTCGGAGCTCCACTAGGCACTTACAATAAAAACCGTTTACCCACATAAGTACAGGGCCTCAGAAAACACCGTCATCAGTGTTTTACTTATCCGTCATCACTCTGGACACAGGTGTTCTCACACAGATGAGGACGCCAGTCAGAGCGGCAGCGCGTGTTGAGTCACTTATTCCGCAAGCCGCACCCCGCCCCGCGGCCCGTGCGGAGGATGGCGTCCCCGGCGGGGACCCAGCTGGCCCGGTCCCGGCTGCCCGGCCACGAGATGGCGCAGCGTCTGCCGCAGGACCGGGCCGGGTGACGTCATGCTCCGGCGAGGCTGGGCACCCGGCAGGATCAACAGCCTCCACTCGGAGAGCCTTCCCCTCCCACCGGGCTTGGGTTGACCCTTTAGCGCAAACTCCAATTCCTCCAGCGTCTCACAATGCCTTGCACGACGCTTTCGCCCTCAGCCCTGACAACAGCTGCGTTGCCGCCCGCAAGGGTCGTTGACGCCGAGCCGCAGGACAAGGGCTCGGGAAGAAGTTTGTCCCTCTGCGCGACCCGGCAGTCAGAGGTCGCTGCTAGGCACCGACGTCCGCTTCTTCACCTCTGATTGGACCTCACTCAAAGGTGAGGCGGGGTTTGCCGCGGCGCGCATGCGTCCAGCAAACGATGGAGGAGTCGGAACCCGAGCGGAAGGTGGGAGCGAGGCTGGAGTCCGCGCGGGAGGCGAGCAGCAGTGAGTCGGGGGTGGGGGAGTGGTCCGGGCCTCACGCGTGTGTATCTGCAGCGAGCTCGCAGCGACGAGGCAACTGCCGCAGGAAGCCGCTCCGAGGCGGAGGATGAGGACGACGAGGATTACGTCCCCTACGTGCCGTTGCGACAGCGTCGGCAACTGCTGGTGAGGGCCCCGGGCGTGGGAGGAATGCTGGCGGGCGGGGGCGGGGCCCGGTCTGCGAGGTGAGGTGTACGTGCACGGGAGCGTGGCCCCGGGCGAACGAGGGCCTGGCGACCTGATCTGAGGGGGAGGGCAGCTCTGCGCCTCGGGCACAGGGCCCTCCCGAAAGCCGGAGTCCTGAGGCAGGCCCCGCTCCGTGTTGGGCTGGGCTCTGAGGGGCGCGGGTGGAACCTCAGCTCCAGAAGCTGCTGCAGCGAAGGCGCAAGGGGGCTGCAGAGGAGGAGCAACAGGACAGCGGCAGCGAGCCTCGGGGAGATGAGGACGACATCCCGCTGGGCCCTCAGTCCAACGTCAGCCTCCTGGATCAGCACCAGCACCTCAAAGAGAAGGCTGAAGGTGGGCTGGGCAGTAGGGGGAAGGTCAGCTTGGTGTACTGCTTTCGTGTCTCTCTGACGCCGTTTGCTTCTTTTCTCAGCCCGCAAGGAGTCTGCCAAAGAGAAGCAGCTGAAGGAGGAGGAGAAGATTCTGGAGAGTGTGGCAGAGGGCCGAGGTATAGTCGTAGCCAGGGCAGGGAGGAGGTGGACTGAGCTTCCTCCTCCAACCCCAGGCATGTTAGCTCATGGGGCCTGGCCTCTGGAAAGCAGGAGCCAGCCCTGAGCCACATTTGTCTCCTCAGCCTTGATGTCCGTGAAGGAGATGGCTAAGGGAATCACGTACGATGATCCCATCAAAACCAGGTACATCTTTCCAGTCTATGGAAAGGCAGTCGCCCTTGCTTGGGAGGGTGTGTGGCTGAGACAGGCAGGGACACCCCAAAGCCAGCGGTGCCTAGGGCCTCTCTTGTCCGCTACCACCTACCCACAGTTGGACACCTCCCCGTTACGTCCTGAGCATGTCTGAAGAGCGGCATGAGCGTGTACGGAAGAAGTATCACATTCTGGTGGAAGGAGATGGTATCCCACCACCCATCAAAAGCTTCAAGGAAATGAAATTTCCTGCAGGTGCTTGGGAACTGGGAGAGGCACCACACTTTGATAGTCAGACATCTGTCAGGTTGTGTCCTAGCCCCCACTGAGCTCAGCAGCTGCAGTGTAGCCAGTGGGGATGGAGGGGTTGGAGGAGGGGCTTTTTTAGGTTCCTTTTTCGGTTGCTCTAGCTGTGCACATTCACTGGTCGTTGCTGTTAGCTTCAGTGGGCAAGTGATGTTGGCCTAGGGCAGACCTGCATGTGAGTCTTGGCTAGACTCACTTAATCTAGGAGCCTTGAACAAGTTTGTCTGTCTTTTTTTCTCTAAACCTCAGTTTCATCATTTGTAATTTGAGGGGGATAGTGCCAATTTGACAGGCTTTGGGGGCTTGATAGTACCCGTGAGACACAGGGATGATGCTGGTGTTGTTTTCCTTAGCAATCCTGAGAGGCCTGAAGAAGAAGGGCATCCACCACCCAACGCCAATTCAGATCCAGGGCATTCCCACCATGTGAGTGTGGATCTAGGAGCCCTGAAGAGGGTGGTGTCGGGGAGGAGCAGTCACTAGATCCATCTGGAGAAGCAGTCCTCGTATTCTGCTGAAACTGATCTTCAGGCCTGTCCTCTCCAATAGTCTATCTGGCCGTGACATGATAGGCATTGCCTTCACGGGTTCAGGCAAGACGCTGGTGTTCACTCTGCCTGTCATCATGTTCTGTCTGGAACAAGAGAAGAGGTTACCTTTCTCCAAGCGTGAAGGGCCTTATGGACTCATCATCTGCCCCTCGGTAAGATAGGCCAGCCTGGAGAGCAGGACACAGATGGGACCATCTTCTGGTGCCAACCTCTGTCCCTGTACCTGCAGAGGGAGCTGGCCCGGCAGACCCACGGCATCCTTGAGTATTACTGCCGTCTGCTACAGGAGGACAGCTCACCACTCCTGCGCTGCGCTCTCTGCATCGGGGGCATGTCTGTCAAAGAGCAGATGGAGACCATCCGACAGTGAGCACAAACACCCCCACCCCATGGACCTCTGCAGAGCCCCTAGACAAGTTAAAGGACCCTTTGCTTTAGCTTTTCCACAGACCCTTGTAGAGATCTCCTGTGGGCCTAGCCCTCAAGGAGCCCCCAGTCTGATGGGGAGGTCAGTTGGGGTGGGACAGAGGGATGTAGTAAGGTCCTGTGGGAGCACAGCAGATGGAATGGGGCATTTGGGAGATCGGGATGTCGGGGCGTTCTGGGCAGAAGGCACAGAGGTTGGGGGCCCAGGGTGTCCAGGAAGGCCAGGGTTCATTGTGGTCCATCAAGGAAGCTAAGACACTGGGCAGGACTGGATCTGTGCCTCTTCCATGCACTACAGCCCCCAGCAGACATTGCCAGCTGTCTGGGGTCACAGACAGGCCAGACCCAGTCCCTGTTCCATAGGCATTCCCAGTCTCGGGGAAGATGCAGGCACAGAAAAGATGAATTCAGTGTACCAGTGAGCCTGTCGAGGCCTACAGAGGGAGCTGTGGGACTGCAGACTGACGCCTAACTGTAGATTTAGGGCAGCTCTCCTGGGGGTGAGGGAAGTGACCCAGGAAAGGGAGGAAGGGTGTGCCAGGCAGAGGTGATCACGTGGCTGGGGAGGAACTCTAGTAGAACAGAGTGGTGGTCGAGAATGCTGCAGCACTCTCCAGGAAAGACATATTCTGTATGGAGGGCAAGGTGGTGGGAGTGATGAGGAAGAGACAGGAAGGAGGCCAGAAGGCAGGTGGCCCCGACCTCAGGGTCTCTTCTCGGTCTCCAGTGGTGTGCACATGATGGTGGCCACACCTGGACGCCTCATGGATCTGCTGCAGAAGAAGATGGTCAGCCTAGATATCTGTCGTTACCTGGCCTTGGACGAGGCTGACCGCATGATCGACATGGGCTTCGAGGGCGACATTCGCACCATCTTCTCCTACTTCAAGGTGCCTGTCCCTGTCTGGCCAGGGCACTCCTGCCACCCTCCCCTGCACACCACATTTAACTGTGGGGGCCCCTGAGGCCCTGTGCTGCCCACCCACTGTCCCAGCTGCTTGGCCTCCGCAGCTCCCCTGTGTCCTCAGCCCCAGACCTGCGCCTCCTTAGGGCCAGCGGCAGACCCTACTCTTCAGTGCCACCATGCCTAAGAAGATTCAGAACTTTGCCAAGAGCGCCCTGGTAAAGCCTGTCACAATCAACGTGGGGCGTGCTGGGGCCGCCAGCCTGGATGTCATCCAGGTGGGCAAGCACTCCTGATGGGCACAGTCTCATCTGTGAGGGCTGGAGTGGGCAAGGCTCCCTCAAAGCTAATTGGAGCAGTGTGGGGGCCACGTTGTGGCCACTAGGGGTTTCATTCAAGGCCAGGGCCTTTGGCAGGACACATTCTTAGGGTGCTCATCCCTTGGTGGCAAGAGGCCTCTGGTCACCCCCCAGCCGGGATTGAGGGCCCAGCCTCTGTGGCAGGGCCTGGGCTGGTGACCCTGTTCTCAGGACCACCTGACCTGGCCCATGTGGTGGCAGGAGGTGGAATATGTGAAGGAGGAGGCCAAGATGGTGTATCTGCTTGAATGTCTCCAGAAGACACCGCCACCTGTGAGTGCAGCCAGCCAGACTTGCCCAGGACTCCAGGGACGAGGTGGAGAGGGTGGTAGGGGCAGCATGCTGGGCAAGGTTGGGGATGCCCCAGTATTCAGCCCCCAGGACGGGAGTTGGCTTTCTTGGACAGGTGCTCATTTTTGCGGAGAAGAAGGCAGATGTGGATGCCATCCACGAGTACCTGCTGCTCAAGGGGGTTGAGGCTGTGGCCATCCATGGGGGCAAAGGTCAGCGTGGTGCATGTGTTGGCATGGATCCTGCTGCCATTAGCCCCTCACCTAATCCCTTCCCCTGCCTGGCTGGCCTGCCGCTACTCCCCAGCCTCCTGCTGTTGCTCTGACAGCTCCTGCCTGACCCTCCCCAGACCAGGAGGAACGGACCAAAGCCATTGAGGCGTTCCGGGAGGGCAAGAAGGATGTTCTAGTGGCTACAGACGTAGCCTCCAAGGGCCTGGACTTCCCTGCCATCCAGCACGTCATCAATTACGACATGCCTGAGGAGATCGAGAACTATGGTGGGAAGGTCGGGGGGGCCAGGGGTGTGGGCTAGGCCCCAGCCCCTGGGCAGTGGCCAGAGGTTCTGTTCCTCTCTCTGCAGTGCACCGTATTGGCCGTACCGGGCGCTCAGGAAACACAGGCATTGCCACCACCTTCATCAACAAGGCTTGTGGTGAGTCTGTTACCAGGGCCACCTCAGCTATACCCTGGGTCCTCTCCCTGGACCACCCAGGTCTTGGCTACAGCTCCCTGATGGTTCCCCACTGCCCACACAGATGAATCGGTGCTGATGGACCTCAAAGCCCTGCTGTTGGAGGCCAAGCAAAAGGTGCCACCCGTGCTGCAAGTGCTACACTGCGGGGACGAGTCCATGCTGGACATCGGAGGTGACTGCGGAGCAGCAGACACTAGTCCATTAGGCTGGGGGGACATAACAGGACCACCACGAAACAAGTCCATGCTGCACATCACTGCACTGGGGGGTCTGATGGGGGGCCAAGGTCTGGGGTGTGGAGCCTGGCCCTGTGACCATGCTAACCTCCCTTCCCCCATACCCCATGCCCCCAGGAGAGCGTGGCTGTGCCTTCTGCGGGGGCCTGGGCCATCGGATCACCGACTGCCCCAAACTCGAGGCTATGCAGACCAAGCAGGTCAGCAACATCGGCCGCAAGGACTACCTGGCCCACAGCTCCATGGACTTCTGAGCTGTCTGTCGTCCCTCCTCTCCAAGAGGCCTCAGTCCCTGGGGCTCCAGCCACCTTCCACACTCACCAGCCCCCCTGGACAAAAGGCCAGCATCCTCGGCCCAGCTGGCCTGGGCTGGGCCAGGCCAGGCCTGGCTGCCTGTTCCCTGTGCCCCCCAAAATGACTTTTGCTCTCCTTAAACCCCAGCTGTCATTAAAGCACAAACTAAGCCCTGTCTCTGTGTGTCGCCTCGTCTGCCCCCTGCTTCGTGCACAGGCCTCACCCTCTGACTTCCAGAGCCCGCTGAGGCAGGGCCTTGGCATCTCCCACCACTGCTGCCAGCACCCAGCCTGGTGGTTCTTGGTTGTGGAAGGAGCTGCCTGCCTAGGGCCCCGTCTCAGGGCTCAGGGTTTCTCCTCTGGGCTAGCTAGATTTATGACTCAAGGAGGGACCACACTGGTGGGCTGAGGGGAAACGGTTGATTGGATGTTCTGGTCTCTTTGGTTGGCTTCCAGCCCTGCCCCAGCCTCCCTGTTCCTGTCAGTTGTGTGAAGCTCCTGGGGCCCCTTGGGAGGCAACTTCCTGCCTCAGGCCCCCTGCCCACTTGCCTGTCTGCTCAGGCTCCCAGTAGGGAATCCTCCACTCTGGTCACTGAGGGGTCAGCAGATACCACAGGACTGCCGCTTAGGCCACAAGCACCCACTGATCCTGCTCCGTGCCCAGCTGTCTGCTGGGCTCAGGACCCAGAGAAGTCAGGCAGTCGCCTGCCGGGAGGCTCACAGGTGAGTGGGAGAGAGATCAGACGCAAATAAATGTGGCAGTAGTCACAAGACTGCTGGCACGTGGGCAGCAGTTCGACGTCTAGCAAGGGGTAGGCAGAGGAGTGGCACGGCACTGGCAGCGGCTCCTCTGTGCCAGACACTTCATGTGTGAGGCCAGTGCTTATCCCAGCAGGACAGCGGTTGCTCAAGTCATGTTCGTCACTTGGTATGTGGCTTTTGCAAGTTACTTAATGTTTCTGAGCCTCGATTTCCTCATTGTTGAAATGGCAATGAGAATGCAAAGGACGTGGTGTGAGGCTGTTGGAGCTTGGGGCTGCCCAGGCTGCAGTGGGCACGAAGCTGGGTGCAGGAGGCCCTTGCAAAAGATTTCCTGTCCACAGCCCCTCTGTGACTCCCGAATGGTATTCCTCAGCCTGGTTACACATTCCTTCCCAGAAGTGGCATTCAGTGAATGACATGAGGCTGTGCTCAGAATTCAACACACAGAGCCCCAATACTGGCCTCCAGCAAGGCCAGGCAAAAAAAGAGGCCCCCAGCAAGAAGCAGAGCTTAAAAAAAGTATATGAGCTCTCCAGGGGCCCACTGGGGGCGTGCCACCCACACTCACGTGGCTGGGGCCGCACCATGAGGACTAAGGGTTTACTGCTGGGGCCTTTGTGCTCTCAGACAGCGTGGAGTAGTCAGAAGAGGCCTCCCGGAGGAAGAGGCAGCCCAGCGCCCAAAGCAGCGCAGTGGTGAGGGTTGCTCTGGGGGGCAGTAGAGGCCAGGACACTCAGCGCCTTGAGTACTGGGCCAAGGAACCCAGGCTAGACCCGAGGGCAGTGGGGAGCCGGGAACCATTCAGGAAAGGGAGAGGTGCTTGGTTTGGATTGGCAGAGAGGGCCAGGATGGGCTCAGGTGGGGCGGTGGTTCAAAGGGGAGATGCTGAAGTGGGCAATGGATGGGGGCTATGAAGATGGGGAGGAGCAAGTGAATATTAGAAATATTTTTGAGACAAAGACAAGTAGAGTAGGACTCTGTGAGACGGTACCAATCAGGTCCCTGAGTGTGAAAGCAAGGAGTTTGCCAGTCTGCCTGAAGCAGGGTCCTAGGGTGGGGACAGGGCTGTGGGAATGCCAGGCCCCAGGGTGCACAACTGGGATGGGGAGGGACAAGGGATGGGTCGGAGCTTGTGACTGGGGAGCCAGCCTGCGGTCAGACGCTCACGCCCAGCTGACCTAGGTGCAGGCACGGGTCATCTGCCCTCAGGTGGTCCAAGGCCCCTGCCAGGCACACGTGGGCACCTTGGGCCAGCCGGAACCCCAAGGAAGAACTGTGTGATGCTCCCCACCCCATCCTAGCTCCTTTGCTGAAGACCAGGCTCCCCTCCCCCCTGCAGCTGCCTCTCTGGACAGAGGGAGGGGGAAGTGGCCAGAAGGGGAAGTGTGAGGAGTTCCCCTCCGGCCTGTCATCAGTCTCCTCAGGCCTTCGGAGTGGCGGCCTGGGGGCCCAGCTGCGGCCATGGAGCCTGTGGAGACCCCCGTCAAGGACGGCATCCTCTACCAGCAACACATCAAGTTCGGCAAGGTGGGGACCCTGGTTGCCAGGCAGCTGCCGAGGACAAACGGTGGGCCTCTGCCTCAGCCTGGGACAGTCCACCCGGACCTGGGAGAATGGGGAAGGGAGTCAGGGGGGGTGAGCCAATCCTGGTATGGGGGAGTGGAACAGAGCCCTGTGCCCAGCCTGAACGGCCTTGGCCCCTGCCTCCTCTACAGATGGGGAAGCCACGAGCAGGGAGGCTCTAAGAATCCAAATGTTGGGGCAGAGCCGAGCTGAGAGGCTGGCTAATCCAACAGCTTCTTGCCCTGTTTAGTAGTAGCACCAAGGCCTCAAGGCCCCTCGAGAGGGTCAGGGGCTGAGCTGGAGAGGCCCGCAGAAATGGAGCCCCACCCTGCAGAAGAAGGCTTGGCTCCTCCCAGCCCTGTCATGGGGCAGAGGAGCGGGAAGTTCACCTCTCTCTTCAGGCAGCGAACCCTGCACCCCCACAGCTCAGCTGCAGCTGCTGCCCAGGCAGATAAACCGTCTGTTTCCTTTACTTGACGCTATTTGCATGTTTCCTTCCTTGCCATCGTGAGACTGACGCCTCCTTCCCACCCCAGCCCTTGTCCTGTGGCCCAAGTGATCTTTCCTTTGGGGGAGGAGGCGGCACCAACATAACGGCAGTGTCAGGTGGTCTGCTCCCCACTAGACACTTGACAGACATCACCCAGTAGAAGCCCCAACCTCACGTTCTCATGACCATTTGAAAGACAAGGATACTAGTGCTTATGGGGTCACAAGAAAGCATGGGGTGGATTTGAACCCAGGGCTGACCGACCCAAGCACAGGCTCTTCCTCCTGTTGGGCCAGGTGTGGCAAGGCCTCCTTCTCTGAGGCCCTGGGAAGTTGGGGGAGGCAGAGGCTGGCCTGGGTGGCAGGAGCGTTTGCTGAGCGGCTTGTGCTGAGCTGAGCTGCAGGGAGAACGGCTGCCGAAGGGTCTACTCCCCCATCCTCATCTCCCACAGAAGTCCTGGCGGAAGGTACGGGGTCTGCTGTATGCAGGAGGCCCATCAGGCGTGGCACGGCTGGAGAGCTGGGAGGTCCGGGATGGTGGCCTGGGGCCAGCGGGTGACAGGTCTGCAGGGCCTGGCCGGCGCGGGGAGCGGCGGGTCATCCGCCTGGCTGACTGCGTGTCCGTGCTGCCGGCGGATGGTGAGAGCTGCCCCCGGGACACTGGTGCCTTCCTGCTCACCACCACCGAGCGAAGCCACCTGCTGGCTGCACAGCACCGCCAGGCTTGGATGGATCCCATCTGCCAGCTGGCCTTCCCGGTAAGCATAAGGCGGGCGCCAGCCCAGGTCACCCTCTGACCCCCACCTTGTTCATCTCCAATGCTCACTCACATTCTGGCACTCAGCAAGCAGCTGCCAAGCACCTACGAGCCTGGGAAACAGCCCAGAAGCCCACAGAACAAATCTCAGGTGGCCATACATGCTGTGGAGAAAATGAAAGGCCAGGGTGGGGCTGGGAGTGAGTGGGGGGACCTTAGGCAGGATAGTCCAGGAAGGCCTCTCGGGGGGGACAGTGGGCCCAAGTCCTCGAGGACAGGTAAGAGCCAGCTAGGCAAAGATCTGAGGAAGGAGTGTCCAGACATCGAGGTCTGACGAGGGTCCTGAACAGAGGGAGCAGCATGGGCAAAGGCCCTGAGGCAGAGGAAAGTTTGGTATGTTTGAGAGGCAGAAAGAGGGCCAGTGTGACTGGAGGTTTAGGAGTGGGAGGGGGCCTAGGAGGAGACAAAGGTGGAGAGTTCCGTGGGAGCCAGCTGAAACCACCTCGGGCTATGTGTGGAGTTTGGGGTTTTATTCTGATTGAGAGGAGAAGCCTTTGGAGGGTTTGAGCTAGGAACTGAGAGTTTTAAAGCCTCACAGGGTCTGTGATGGACCTAAAGGAAATGAGTTTGGTGGTTCCTCAAAAAGTTAAAATAGAGTTACTATATGACCCAGCAATTCCACTCCTAGGTATATATCCCAGAGAATTGAAACAGGTGTTCAAAAAAAACTTGTACGAGAATGTTTAGAGCAGTATTATTCATGGTAGCCCAAAGGTGCAAATAACTCAAATGTCTGTCAACTGATGAATGGATAACCAAATGTGGTCTCTCCATACAATGGAACATTGATGGGCCTTAAAAAGGAATAAAGCACTGCTGCACGCTCCACCATGGATGAACCTGGAAAACATTATGCTAAGTGAAAGAAGCCAGACACAAAAGGCCACATAGTATATGATTCCATTTACATGAAATACCCAGAACAGGCACATCTCCGGCAACAGAAAGTAGCTTAGTGGTTGCAAGGGGCTGGGGGAAGGGGAAATGGCGAGTGCCTGTTAATGGTACCGGGTTTCCACTTGGAGTGATGAAAAAGTTCTGCAACTAGATAAAGGTAATGGTTGCACAACCAGTGACTATGTTAAAAAACACTGAATTATGCACTTTAAAATAGTTAAAATGGTAAATTTGATGTCTATTTTACAACAATTTAAAAAATTAAAACAAAAAAGAAAGGAACAGGAGCAAGGAGCCCAGTGAGGCGGCCGTTGCGTTTGCCCCTGGCCTTGCTGCTGTGGGCCGCGGGGATCGCGGGGCGGGTGCTGAGAGGCAGAGCCCGAAGGACATGAGGGGCTGAGGGGTAGGGAGGGGTGGGATGGGGAAAAGCATGGGGGAGGAGCAAGGGGCCAGTTCACTCACATGTCCCCCCCCTGAAGCTCCTGCCCCTTCACTGCTCCAAGGTGTTGGGGACACACGGGGCGGCCCAGTCCCTGGCCAAGCACAGGGCCAGTGGGGGACATCTGTATGCCCCCTGCTTTATGGCTTTCAGCACCCTCAAGGAGGACCCGGGTCGGGGTTGCAGGTGGGGAAATCAGCCCAGAGGGTGCCCGGGGTCGTGCAACGTGTCAGGGGCAAAACTGGGACTGACACCCAGGTCCCTGGATGCCCTCACTTGTCACGGAGTCCTGGCTTACTGATCCCAGGGGAGGGCTTCGTGAAGAAGCATGGGGTGAACTCTAACCTCTGACCTTGGCCCTTTCCGCAGGGCACAGGGGAGTGCCCCTCAGGATCAGGGGAGGCGGAGGCTCCCAAGAGGGGCCTGGTCCCCATGGAGGAGAACTCGATCTACTCCTCCTGGCAGGAAGGTGAGTCAGGGAGGTGCAGGGGTGGCCTCAGCAGAGCTGGGATCTTTGGGGGACCCACGTGGGCTGTGCTTGCTGCCCTCACTGCCCTCTTCCCCACAGGGGGTGAATTTCCGGTGGTGGTGCAGAGGACCGAGGCGGCCGCCCGCTGCCAGCTGAAGGGGCCCTACTGCCTGGTGCTGGGCCAAGACGCCATCCAGCTGAGGGAGCCGGCCAGCCCCCAGGCCCTCTACACCTGGCCCTACCGCTTCCTGCGCAAGTTCGGCTCCGACAAGGTGAGGGGCTGGCGGCTGGTCCTGCAGGGGAGGGGGTGGTGGGCACCCTGGCCCCTCACTACTGATCTGACCCTGCCCCACCCGTGCCCAGGGCGTGTTCTCCTTTGAAGCCGGCCGCCGCTGTGACTCCGGCGAGGGCTTCTTCGCCTTCGGCAGCCCCCGAGCCCGCGACCTGTGTGGGGCCGTGGCCGCCGCCATCGCCCGCCAGCGGGAGTGGCTGCCAGAGCTGGCGGGGCCCCGGCCCTGCCCCCTGCCGCGGGCCACCTCCCTGCCCTCCCTGGACCCCCCGGGAGAGCTGCGCGAGGCGCCCCCGGGGCCCGAGCCGCCCAGCTCCTGGAGGGCACGCCTGGCCGAGCCTGGGCCCCAGAGCCTGCCGCCGGTGCTGGGCCCCGTGCCGCCCGCCGAGCCCGTGCTCTACGCCTCAGTGTGCAAGCGCGCCAGGGGGCCCCAGGGCGCCGCCGAGCACCTCTACGAGAACCTGTCTGTGCTGGAGGCTGGCAGCCGCAGCCCCCTGGGCAGCCCAGTCTACCACAACCACGAGGACCTGGGCTGGCCCGGACCGGCCCATGACAGCAGCCTAGAGGCCCAGTACCGTCGGCTGCTGGAGCTGGACAATGACAACGGCGACGGCGATGGCGACGGCAACGGCGTCGGCGACGAGGCCGCGGGCTCTGGCCGCCCTGGCGCTCATGCAGGCTTCAAGGCCAAGCTGGTGACTCTGCTGAGCCGTGAGCGGAAGAAGGGCCCGGCCCCCTGTGACCGGCCCTGAACATCCTGTGTGGCATGGGACAGATGGGCAGACAGACAATGGACATCTGGGGACACATCCTGTACCCAGTCTGGTCTGCAGGGACAAGGCAGACCACCTGAGAAGGACCCCTCCTGTGCCCTGCCGGGCCCCCGGTGTATAGTGTACAGACCTGCCGATAATAAAGCCTTCCGGCTCCCCTCCTGGTTGGCTCTGTGGCCCACAGTCGGCACCTCGCTGCAGCTCTGCCTGTGGCACTCACAGGTCCACACAGACCTCACCCACATGCCTTGTAGCCAACACCAGTACCCTGTGCTGGGCTCCAGGGACACACATGACCTGGACCTGACCTCTGCCGCCAGTGGGCTCAAGTCCACTCAACAGACAGGAGGGATGCAGAGGTCCTGTGCAGCAGAAATGACTCGGAGAGTTGGGCAGAGGGAGAAAAGAGGATGGCTGATGGAAGAGGTGCCTCCGAATTGAGTGTGAAGGGCAGACAGGGCTTCGCCAGGCTGGCAATGAGCCCCGGGGCTTTCTGGGCTGAGGGTGGGCCCAGTGGGCCCAGAGACAAAGGGAAGAGCATGGATGCAGAGGGCTCCAAGGGGCTGAGGGAAAGTTGGTGGCCGAGCATGAGAGGCCCTGACCGTCTGCAATGAGCTTGGTGTCATCCTCAGCAGAGGGACACAGTCAGACTAGGGAAGGAGCAATGTGGAGAAGTGATTTGAGGGAACTCAACTGGAGACCGGGAAGTCTGAGCTGGGGAGGAGGTAGTGGGGGTGGGATGGGGTGAGGGGCAGGTGGAAGGGACTTCAAAAGTGTGCACACCCAAAAACACTTGCTCCCCACTGAGACGAGAATGCACAGACACAGGAGACCTTGGCCTCAGTCTCCTCAGCTGTCAAGGATAAAGATCAAACTACACATCAGGCAGGCATTCACTCATTTTTTACCCCGTGCTTGCTCTGTGCCAGGCACTGGGGACACAGCCATGTTCAAGACAGCCACAGTCCTGTTTTCAAGGAGCCCATGGTCTGGAGAGAGATAAGCAAATCTCCTGAAGACTTTAGTGCCCTCATGCTACTCCTGTCACCATCCCTGGGGCCTCCGTGCACACAAGCATCATGCTCCCAAGGACCTGGCTTCCTGGCCCCTTGACCCCAGGCTCAGCTATCCACACCCTTGGCACATCCTGAATCCCATCTTTATAACATTGATGCTCCATCTTCACAATCTTGTTTCCAAGTGCCCCCGCTCTGGCCACATCCTTCTCTTCTTGCAGCCTACTGCCTCTAGCACGACCCACACAGCTCCTCTCCAGCCGCGTCCACCTACGGTGACCCTCTTCTGACTGTCTGTGCCGCTGCTGTCCACAATTCCATCCTTGTCCACCTTAGACTCTGTGTTCCGCCAATGGAGTCACCCCCTCACGCTCCTCTCGTCTTCCAGCTTATTTGTCTGGCAAAGCCACGAGCCACGGGAACACCAAACTCCCTCCATACCTGCAGCCTGGCAGAGGCCCACACCGGGGAAATTCACATCACCAGGCTGATTGCGTTGTCTTTAGCAATGTGATCACAGACCTCAAATCGGCAGGCCTTCTACGCTGCCCAGAGATCCTGTGTCCCAGAGTGGCTGTTTTTCTCCTCTCCGAGACCTCCACACCTTCTCCTCTCCATCCCTGCCCAGTCTCAGCTTGCAGATATCCTGGAGAAACAGCAGCCGACAGAGGTGAACACCACCCCCCCCAAACCTCCCACCACCTCCTCTACAAGTGCACCTGCATCTGCACTGCCTCCTTCCTGCCCTACAATGGAAGAAGTATCTTTTCCCCAACATGTGTCTGATCCCAGCTCCTCTCACCACCTAACAGCTTGGCAAACTGAGCTGCCCCTCTCCTCGACCCATTAATTCCATCATCGTCATTTCCAGCCACAAACAAACATGCTCTGTAATTTTACATCTTTAAAAGAAACTTTCCCTTGACCTCACATTCTCCTTCAGCCACCTCCCCATTTCTCTGTTCCTCTTCACAGTGAAACTCCTCAAAAGAGTTGTTGATTACTCTCATTTCCACTTTCTCATCTCCCATTCTCCCTTCCACCAACTCCAGACTCCTGTTGGTCCCCCCACTTCATTGCATTGCTCTTATCACAGTCACCAACCTCCCTGTTGCCCAAAACAAAAGCAACCTGGACTCCCCTTGTGAGCTGGACTCCCCAACTTCTCAGCAGCATTCGACACCCCTCCTTGAAACGCTGTCTTCACTTGGTTTTCCTCCTCCCTCCTGAGCCTCTCCTTCCCAGCCTTTGCTGTCTCCTCCTCTGCCAGAGTCTTGCCCTGGGCTCCAGCCTCACAGTGTAGCTTAACGCTGGCTGCACACAGAATCACCCGGGAGACTTTAAAAAATGCCTGCACCTGGGCACACCCACAGGCTCACATTTCATCAGTCCTGGCGGGCCCTGGGCATCAGTTTGTCCGATTCCCTGAGTGATTGTAGTGTGCATCCAAGGCTGAGAACTACTGCCCTAAGTGAGCCAGTCCTGTCTCCAGGTCTCACTGGTCATTTAAATGCTGGCGGCTAGGGGCCGGCCCAGTGGCGTAGTGTTTAAGTTCGTGCTCTCTGCTTTGGTGGCCCAGGGGTCGAAGGTTGGAATCCCGGGAGCAGAACGACCCACTGCTCATCAAGCCACGCTGTGGCAGCGTCCCATATACAAAATAGAGGAAGACAGGCACAGATGTTAGCTCAGGGCCAGTCTTCCTCACCAAAAAAAGAAAAGAAAAGAAAAGACAAAAGAAATGCTGATGGCTCCCAAAGGTATATCTTCAGTGCAGACCTCTCCCTTGAGCTCCAGATTTAAGAATCCAACTGCACACTAGACTTCTGGCTGTCTAAAAGGCATCTCCAAATGTAACGTCTGAAGGGACGCTGGGGGGTTCTGTGCAGTGCTGCCCCAGGGTGTCTGTGGCCACAGAGGGCAAAGCTCAGGACATTGGAGCGATGGGGAGGCAGATTTCAGACCCACTTATGGAAGCTCCTCCTGATGGGTAAAATCTTCCCATGATCCATCAGGCTGCCTGCCATAGAGCCAGCTGAGGCCAGAAGGTTCCCAGTCAGGGTGCCTGTGGCAGAGACCCCTCTGCCCCACAGCTCAGCAAATCCGAGGACACACTGGAGGTTACCCAGAGAGTCAGGGTCATGACCAGAACTGGAACCTAGGACTCTGGGTCCCTGGTCAGGCATGCTTCCCTTCACTACAAATCTAAGCCTCTTTGTTTCATGCAATTTCTGTGAGGTTCCAACCAGACTGGGAAAGAGAAAGTCCTTGGAAACCTCCGGGACTCTAGGGGCCTGGCCCTGGAGCTGGAGCTGTCCTGGCCACCAGGGGGCACTGTGTCCTAGCCTGGGGCAACCCAGGGGCTGCCTATACAGGGAGCTCTTGTGGCTCCATCCAGGCCTGAGCCTTGCACAGGCCAAGGAATGCGGTCACGGGGTCCTCTCTGCTGGAGGACTGCCAGGACCCCCAGCTGCCACTTCTTCCTTTGCTCACGTGCTGTGTCACTTTCTTCCTTCATCTGCTCATTCACATCTGCTGTGTGCAGACACTGGGGAAATGTTGGTGGACGAGACAGACAAGTCCCTGCTCTCATGGGAGTGAGTTTCCAAAGGGGGAAAAGGCAATAAAGAAACAAACACTTGATATAATATCAGACGGTTGTAAGTGCCATGGGGAAAAATAAAGCAGGGTAAGGGACTAGTACTTGATGCTGGCAAGGAGTCAAGGGGCTCCTGTTTTAGATAGGTGGCCAGAGAAGATCCCTTGGAGGAGGCGACAGCTGAGCAGAGACCTGAACAAAGTGAGAGAGCCTGTTGCTTAGACATCTGGGTGAAAGTGCTTCAAGCAGAAGGAGCCACAAGTGCAAAGGCCCTGAGGCAGGAATATGTTTGACATGTTGGAGGAACAGTGAGGAGGCCAGAGTGGCTGGAGTGCAGTGAGCAAGGAGGAGAGTGGTGGGAGGTAGAGTCAGTTTATTAGTGACATATACATCTTGAGGTCTTTAGTTTTTTTTTTTTTTTTTTTTTGTGAGGAGGTCAGCCCTGTGCTAACATCTGCCAATCCTCCTCTTTTTTTGCTGAGGAAGACGGCCCTGGGCTAACATCTGTGCCCATC